CTTCAGCGCGATTTATAATATATCAATTTCTGTAAAAATATCTCAAAATTTGTTTTTATTTTACTAATATCGTTTTTTATCATTTCTGTTCAACTTTTACCAATATTTTGTTCTGTTCGTCAAGAGTGCCATTCTTACGGAAACATTCTCTTCACCGTTTTGGGTACCGCGAACGAGCAGTACCGTCGATCTGCACGCGACTATCAAATTATAGCCGATGCATAATGCAACGGATAATGTTACAAATTCAATCATCTTTCGGGTATTTTTATCAACGTCAGCCGCGCCAACGACGAGCGACGAGATATTTCTACGCGGTGTTACACGCGCACGTCGAGAGAATCTCGACTATCAATAGCACGCTGACTTAGTTATGCGCTCCTACCTAGAGCGCTTTGCCAAGTAGAATTCCGATATCCGTTAGAGCCTGCTTCTGTTGTTGCAAGGTAATCCGATCTTCAGCACGTTTTACCACTTCTTAAGGTGTGTCGACCTACCGCGTTTCACGCCATAATCACGCTCGATCGATCATCGAAGACTAATACTCTAATCACTAATCAGTATCAAATCCATTTTGCGTTTTTGCATAAATTTAATATCTCAAGTTTTACAGAACTTTGCTCGAAGCAAACCGACCCGGGATCGACGAGGTGGTTACGGAGGTGAGAAAATAATGATAAGCTCAAATTTAGTAGATGGACCAAGAATATCGTATCAAAATGATAATATATTCTTGACCGTTGGATTCTTGTTGAAATCGTATTAAATGTATTGGGTAAAAAATAAGCTCAATAATTATAATACACTAACATATCTATGGAATGCGATAGCGTATTCCGTTTTCATACATAATCAATATGAAATCTCAAAATTAAATAAGTATTAAATGAGAAAAATTGGGATTTAACATATCCACGAAAGCAAAATATCTATATTTTTTACTATGTTTAACAAACATTATACGTAATAATTTATTGTTATTATATTTTTAGAATTTTAATATTTTATGCACAATTTTAAGTAGTAATAAGATTAGAATGCATTTTAAAAATGAAGAGTGGAAAGCACAAAATTTTTCTGCAAATAATACTCGACACAAAAAAACTCAGGCAAAAATAATTTATTTCTTATTAGAAATATTATTAGAAATATTATTATTAGAAATAATTTATTTAATTTATTAATACATATAAAGAAGATAATCATTGTAATCGATTAGAGATTATAAATTAGAAAAAGGAAGAAATAAGAGATAGACGGTACTTGACAAGAAAGGGCAAATGTATCTCTCTCTCTCTCTCTCTCTCTCTCTCTTTCTTTATATGTGTATAACTATAAACTGTAATTTATATTTGCCACTAGAGATAAAGCTAGGAAGCTGAGATAAAGATAACGGCAACTGATTAAGAAGTATCTTAAATAAGATACGGAGAAAAGGAGAAATAATGGTAGATAATGATCAAGGAAAAGAGTTATAACGGAAACATTCCTATGTAACTTAATTTATACTTCACGCTGAAACTATAGATAGTGAGAGAAAATAGGGATAGTAATGGCAGCCGATTAGGAAGTATCCTGGAGACAGGATGTGCAAGAGGGGCGAATGGAGGAAGCCAATGACTCTCACGACGCGAGAGGGAGGAAATTTTATCGAGCAGCCGCCATCGACGAGATAGAGGACTGAGAGGGATGGTAAGCAGGGAATGAGGGGATGAATCGGAGGGTGAATTGGAAGACAGCGGGGGTAGGATAACTCGCGCGGTAGCGAACGAACGAATCACGAATGAAGGGATGAGGAAACTCTTGAGGGATCGTACGTCCTGTCAGGACAGGAGGAGGGCAAAGTCAAGCAGACAAAGGACTTACCCCACCGCGGGAGGATAAACCTCGCCAGAGATGGCGGTCGCGCCGCGAACCCGCAAACTACTAGAGTATTAATAGTTATTTCGCGCTTCATTATCACGCGGTGCTCGCTCATGATACGCGAACACGCGCGCGTTTGACACGAAGCGCAATGCAGCGCACAATCGGCGATTACAAAAAGTTGCAAAAAATGCTTTTCGAAAATCCCTGTTCATTATTACGTTAGTCAAATTGCACAAGAAATAAATTAAATCAAATTAAATTGAAAGAAAAATTCTCTTATGATGTTCTAGAAGAGAAACTTTTGAAACTAAATTATTATAAATTAATTTTCTTATATTCTTTGCAGTTCAGCATCTCTCTCATATATCTTTTATATATTGTTAATTAAGAAAATAACTTATTACACGCATTCAAATTATATAATATATATGTATCATAAGCAAATATTTAAAAATAAATTTATATCGAATATTGCCGAAAAAATAAATATTCTTTCTCAATCGTTAAGTTTCATTCGTTATCTTTATGAATGCTTTGTATATATTCATTAATAACAGACAATACCAATAAAATTTTAACAATGTCTACGTAATGTTATATATTTTATAACTATTTCTGTATTTAAGTAAAAATAATTAATTATACCACGTAAATTTTTTGTGATATTAATAAAAAAAAATTAAATCTACATAAAAACGAGGAAAGAAAGAAGATTAGAAAGAGATTTAAGGGAAAGAAAGAAAGCAAATTTAAAGAAAGCAAATATAAAGAAGATTTAAATAAGTTCAAGATCAAAGCGTGTGTAAATATCACATGAATGAATAAATAAAGAAATATGTAAAAATAAAGAACGCATATTTTATGTCAGATATCATCATTCCAGAAATAGCTTCTTCTCTCTCTTCTCAAGATAGATTGAATAACTTTATTTCCATTTAGAAAGTTTGAAGATATAGATTCGAATATATAAATCAAATTCCACACACATATGTGTGATATCAATGATTATGTTTCTATTGCAAATTACAAGTTTTTATTGTAAATTAGAAATTCTTATATTATATAAATTCCCTCTCTTTCTTTAGAATATAATAATAATATTGATATAAATCTTGATTTTGTGATTAGAATAACCATAAGAGTTATGTATTTTGTAGAAGGAATATTAAGTTCGATCGAAATATAGTACGAAAGTACATACAACCAATAATTATATCTAAATTCTCAGATTCTCGTATTCTGTCCAATACAGATATCAATCACAACATTAAGACCGTAGGGTCAAGGGGTTAACGGCAGTTTAAGTAACTGTCGCCAAAATAATCACGCGCATCGTGTAAAAGTGAATTACACATGTCGGAATATCAAGTTGTCGACGCAAATAGCGGGCGATTTAGTTCCATGGTTTTCGACTCGCCATCTCGCCGTATAATAATATCGCGATCGTCGATGACGAACGTTATATTAATCCGCGCCTACGTCTCGGAGATAAGATTAAATTTATTGCTCCCTTCTCTCTCTTCAAGCTCGAAACCAATGAAATCGTCCGCGATCCTCGCTCGCGCTGGATAATCTGAATGAGATTCGGCGAGAAGGGTACTTTGGCGGCGTTAAGTGATGCACGTCAGTCGGGAAGTCTAACTTTAGGATCCGTTAGTGTCTGGAAAGCTCTCTAATCGCGTTACCGTCCATGTACCTCACCTCACCTGTCCTTTCCACGACATCTGCGTCCTCGTGCGAGCAGGTAACTTAAGACGCATGAGAAGCAGGAAAATCGACGAGGAAGCTGTGACAGGTAGCTTCCTTAACGAGCTCGCAAGATCATGTAAATTTGTCGCATAGAGCAAGAGCAATTTTCTCAGAATGTTCAACAAAAATAATGATTATTTTATCACAGTATAAATAATCCTTAGATTACACCATATCGCGAGAATGTTAATATATTGATAATAAGAAACAACAATATAATAAATTACATAATAATTTTGTCTTTTATGCAAATTATTTAATTTAATCAATTTTAATTTGAATTTGACTGATGTAATATTTAGGTTCGTATTTTCATCGTATGTTTAATATTAAATATAGTCGTATGCAATTTTGTTTGTTTTTAATGTCAAATTTTGACATAATTGAGAATTGAACAAGCATATTTAATAGTCAATATTAATATTAAAAATTAAAAAGTTGGTAAAAATATTTAATTTTTCAAGCAAATTTTCGTTTGTTGAGAAAAAATATAAACTTCAGATAAAACTCCAAAAAGAACAGCACTTAAGATTGGAAAAAATATTTAGAATAAAAATATGAAAATGATACAGTTTTTTTTACACGTGCATGCGTAATAATCCCAAAATGATGTAAATCGAATCGTGTAAAATGAGAGCAAGTTTTATGGACTCAGTTGTTACAAGAAAATTTAGCATATTTATCTCTTTTAAACAACTGCAATTTTGGGGACAATTACCCTCATACATAAAAGATACATCTCAATTTGCAATCCCGAATTGCGCTGTGATCAAATTTCCGAGCATTACCATGTAAATAAAATCGCGTAAAACAAGAGAGATTGTTTTACAAAAAGATCACTTTGCTGTTTAATATAATTTTTTCTATCGATAACAATAAAATATTTTGAAAATATTATTTCGTAATTTCGCGTACGGGGAACAATTTTTACAATAATATTTGTACTATTCCTAAGTCGTTCATCTTTCGTTCATGATAATCCGTCAAGTATTAGACAGCATAATCCATCAGCTCGCGACCTGTAGGTAGCCGTGAAAACGAAAATGGAGTCTGTAATGTAATTACACTACACTCCTTCGGCTAACTCACCCTCAACTTTCCGCCAACAGCCCTCTCTTTGTGCGAATAAAGCAAACTACACGAATTACAATACAAAATTATATGTAAACCGAAAAAGAATGTATTTTTCTTACGATATAATTGTGATAAACTATATATAACATATATTTCGATTAATTCTCGTATATCGATTGTGTCTCAATTTCAATGTGCTGCCTTGAATTTTTATAAGAAACCTCACGTTTTTTTTACATACGAAAGAACCTAAATTAGAATTAAATTTCATATAAGGAGGATTAATCGCGAAAACGAAAAATTACACTTACTTGTACTCTGGCTTCCGTCAGATCGATCTTCATAGCAATTTCTTCTCTGGTGTAGATGTCTGGGTAATGCGTCTCCTGGAATGCACGTTCTAGTTCTTTCAGTTGAGCTGACGTAAATGTTGTTCGTATCCGACGTTGTTTTCTCTTCTCCGCGAGACCATCATGTCCTGAATAAGCCTTATATCCCAAACCACCTGAAATTAAAAGTGTGCAAAATGTTAGTAAAGATAGAAATATGTGATAGAAATATACGCGATATAATAATAACGTATGTAATCTCGAAAATACTTTATTTGCAATACAATGGCAAAAATAACAACATAACAACAATAATAATGCAGTAATAATTGTAATGCGCGAAATGTAATGTTAAAACAATTTTTATCTCAAATGTAATCTTTAGGCAACCTTCAGATGTGCGTGTGTGTAAAACACATATTGTTTATCATTTCTCACGTAATTCTATTTTCAAAAGAAAAAAACACACATATGTATCCTCATATATGTTTTATATATTAATTATTAAAATTTTAATTTTAAAAAATTGCATTAGAGTATTAAAATTTTACTTCTATGGAGATAAATAATTTAATTTTCAAAAGAGCCATTAAGTAATTATATCAGAGATATATCCGTAAAAGACTTTTACTTTGCACAATTAATGTCGTCTCCGACATTAATTCTGCAAGTCTTTATGACTATTTCGTTTCGATAGCATTTATAACTCGTTTCTCCATAAAACGTTAATTTAAATGACAGGTACTATGTTGCATAATCTATTTGTATGACATTCTTGCGCGTACCACATCGAAACAACACATGTGATGTTAAATTCAATCGGGATCAATTATCAACTAGAACGAAGGGAGCTTAGCTCCCTGCTCGTGTGTGACATGTTTAGCCCCTTCTAAATCGCCGGAACAAACACAACAAAGCGTCGCACATTCATAGCTTGACGGATTGACGTGAGGATAAAGGAGTTTTTGTTAAGCCATTGCAGTCGGAATTACAAATGCAATATTATTTATTTATTATGTTGTATTAATATACGATATAATACGTGATAATATATTAACATTAGTATTACTTATTGGCCATTAGCTTACCAAACGGTATTACTTATTAGCTATTTATTGATTCGAATCACTTAGATTAACACAGAAAAACCTTAAAAAAGTTAAAGAGATTAAATTTTCCTATATAAATATGCAATAAATTATATTCATTCAAATATCTAATGATCTCCGCAATTTCTAGATATAATTGTAATAATAATAAGCTTCTTCGTATATGACATTTTTCCTAAGCTAGATAAAAGGGTTTCTTGTATAACTTATATATCACTGACGTTAGATGCAACGAAAATATGTCTGTCGTTTCTCGTAAACAATTGTATAGGAAATGAAAATGAAAGAAGAATATGAAAAAATATTCTTCTCAGAATTTAAATAAATCTATCGATTTATCGAGAATTCTATTCTCTTCTGCTATATAACATTTTAAAAACAAATCTTCAGAATCTTTAAAAATTAATTTTTTTCTAAGAAACTACTTGGAGATATTACAATTTTTTGCAATAATAGATGTATAAATAAATGTCAAATTAAAAATTTGATAAAATAAAGCGATCTTAAAATTGAATAAGGAATAAAGCTTGTGAATAAATTTACTTGCACAGAATCAGATTCAATTAAATCTTTAATTTCAATGACTCGTAATTCAAAAGATTATCGATATCTTATTACAGAAAAGTCGATTCTAAATTTAAGCAAAGACCGTGTCATAAAAATTTGATGCGATATCTGACTTGTCTACAAAAAAAGGACAAGTATGGAATTGTAAAATAATAATAGTGGAATCGCAAAAAACAAATCGCACGCTCCTCTAAGTAAGACAAAGATTCGATGAAACACAAGCTGAGATCTCGATTCTAGCAATTTGAGCATCATCGTGATCCATCGAAAATTAACCAAAAGTACGCCAAGCAAATCGACGAGTACGCTAATCCGATCACTCACTCTGAAGATTGATGGCCGACGGGAAGATGGAGGCGGCATGCCGGTGAACTTCCTGGGACCTGGCGGCCATTACGGAACACGGGGTCGAGTGGGCCCCGTGGTGCGCGTGGGTGTGGGAGTGCGCGGTATGATGGGCCGTAAGCGGCGTGCCGCCGGCCGCGGCGCCGGCGGCGGCGGCGGCCGCGTTACCGGGATAACCGGCGGCCCGTGCCGCGGTGTAGCGGTAAGCTGCCTGGCTCATCTGCGAGCAGGAGCTCAGGTCGCCGTAGCTGCATTGCATCTCGCCGGCGGCCAGGGCGCAGCTAGACGCCTCGAAGCCGGCCGCGGCCGCGGCCGCGGCCTGGTTCAGATACGAGTAGTCCATCACGCCGGCTGCGAGTAAATCCCACTTGATGTCACTCCTGTGACACTTGGTTCCTTCCGTGCTTCTTTCCGTCGTTACTTCGCACGCCCGATAGTGGTACTAAAATGGACCCGCGAGACGGCTTCTCGGCGACGCGCACTCGGAAACAACGGTGACGGCGCGTCCCGAGATAGAGGGATAATATATGTCTGAACTGAATATGTGTGAACTTAATGAGAAAAAAAAACGAAGACACTCGTTGCGAGAAGAGATGCGGAGACGGACGCGGTAAGATCTACGCGCGGGTCGCCGCGCGCGGTTTATTCGGGCCCGGTTAACGCGCGCGTTTCTGGGCCCCCTCGAACCGCGGGTAAAACCCGGGTAAACGCGAGGGTAGAAGCGGCACGCCGCTTTCTCGTCGGCGACGCTTCAGCGAGACCGGGAACCGGGCCGGGGCCGCCGGCTGGGCTCCTCGATAGCGGCTTATGACGCGTAATCGGATCAGCGATATCAAATTATTGCGATTACACCGCGGATAGGAAGAAGTTTTTCGGCCCGCTTAAGAGCGCCCCGTACGACCGACTGGTGGGTCTCCTCAAAATCAAATGATAAGCTTAATTCAATAACCGCCAGTGCCGCGGGTAGGAGCGTGGGTGTGGCCATGGTTGTTCCCGCGGGGGTTGCGTTTCACGGGATGTTCGTCCTGAGGTAGCTGATTCGTCGGCAAGCGAGCCATCCCTGTTACGAGAACGGGGGTTGAAACGCCGCCCCGAGCGTCGGCAACGCCGACTTTCACCCCTCTCGACGTTTACGCGGGGCCAGCCCCGGGTTACAGACCAGACGACCCTCTTCTCCAAACGGCCATCAGCCCGAATGAGTGCTATCATTCGATGACGCGCCCCTCCGACCACCCCACCAACGGCTTTACGATCGATTCCGCGCGGAGACATCAGCGACGGAGGATGCCGCTATATCCTGGCCGCTCCAGTGGACACTAGGAGCCTGCAGGAGGCTACGTCGCGTCCTGTAACGCGGCGAGGACCTTCGGAGCTGTTTACACCTGCGTGCTGTGCGAAAGATATCACACGGGATTATTCGCGTCGTATATGACGACACTAAAACACCTGAGTTGGACACGTTTTGACCGCGAAATATTAGAGACAGAGAAAGAGAGAGAAAGGAAGAGAAAGAAAGAGAGAGAGAGACAGAGAGTAATATCATCCCTTAACAAGTTTTTCTTGAATGTGTATAAATACATCGGCCTATTTTTACATACAAATGTAATTTACATAATAATTGCCATCGCTCGTGAGAGATAAATTTTCACAGTTACTACGAGCTATAACATTGCAATCATAAATAGACTTTATTTTATCGATTTCAATCGGATTAACCAAAATCTTTTTAAATAAATCGTCTTTTAATATTTCCTCCCAACATTCACATAATAGGAAAAAGGATAATAACGATAATAACGAAAATCTTAAGATCAGTTTGGGAATGTTTCTTTCTAATTAAAATGGAAAATTATATATATATATATATATATATATATATATATATATATATATAATAGTATTTAGTCAATCATATGTTTTCTAGTAAAAGAAATATGCAACAGTTGGAATATATATTAAAAGTACGATCGCACAATTCAGTAAAGAATTTATATACAACATACAATCTTATTGCATTTCAATTAGCATAACTATTTAATCCACTAATTTCATAACGAAATGTTTACATTGTAATATTATAATCAATGCGCGAAAAATTACGTTATATAATACGTATATATAATAATTATGTAATACGTATATATGTATACGTAATTTTTAAAATTAATTTTTTTAGCAAAAATATTTCTCGATATTCTTATTATTAATCTTCTTACTAAACTTCGATTTAACAGAAACTTATCATTTTCAATTGTTCAAATGTAAAACTTGTAAAATGGAAAATTAAAATATCACACAGTAAAAGATAAACATCCTTATTCGATTTCTGCGAAAAGAATAAAGTTTATATTAATTAAATAATCTGCCCTCAAATTAAATCGCATCTAAATTTGTCAAGTAAGTTTATCAAGCTAATACAGAAAAATAACGCAATAATTTTGGGAGATATATATCGCATATTTTAAATTTTTTGGCGCAAAATAAGACGCCCTTATATTAACCAAATTGAAATTTCTCACATCTTCCACATGGTACGAGTGAGATAGTCGAGAGGGAAATATGATTTATTTCAACCTAGAGAAACAATTTTCGCGAGACTGGCACGGCGATACGCATCGACCGACCGACTCTTGTGCGACATTTGTTTTGCACTTGTTCTCACGAGAGAGAATGCCACGATGAGAGTAGTCGCGATGTTCCACCCTCTTTCCTGAATCTTATCCCGAGGGAATCTCGTTCCCGGCACGCGAAACGTGTGTCGCACATTGGGCAATCACACGTATACACAATCAAATGTTACATAGGCGTATTTTTTAAATAAATCTTGTATATGAGATCTCAAATGTGTCGGAGAGAGATAAATGTAAAAACATATAATCTCAGCAAACAATATATAACACACTAGCTTGAACTTAATTATAATACGTAATTTTTAAAAATAATTGAATTAAAATCAATATCATAAGCTCAGTCAAAATAAAAAGCATATAAATTATAAAACTAGAAAATTATATCATTTTGTTTTTTTTTAATTTAGAAAATTAATAACACTCGTATAGCAAAAATTAATCAATATTTTTTATATGTAAATTATAAAATTTACATGCAAATTAATATAATGTATTTTTTTACCTATTCTTTCTTTAACTTTAAAAATTATTTAAATCAATAGTAAAAGTAATATAATATAAATTTTTATGTATAACTTTCTAATTTGAAGAAAACAAATACACTTTCATAGAATTACGCCACTGTTCGCCGCGAACGCGTGCATAGAATGTGTATATGTTTTTGATATACCCGAATGTGTCAGTCTCCCCTTAGTGGCCGGTTACATATGTCCTTGATTTGTCCGGAGGATAATATTCTCCTGCAAAGTTGATTAAATATTGGTTAGTGACCTCGGACACCCTCCGCAGCCTTGTATCGCCTTTCGGTTCTGAAGACCCGCAGGAATACAATTTAATATTTCCGCGCCCGAAAACAGCGGGTGATCATTTTTCTTTCATGTAAGCGGCTACATCAAAAATTGGCGATGTTTCCAAGTCTCTGAGGGAAATCTATAAACAGCACTTAGAGTTCAAGTAGTATAAATCAAGCTTAACGGAATTTAAAATGCTTCAAGTGTGGCAATAAAATATGAATGGGAAAATATTAGCATTTAGATTATAAATACATTATAGAATATTAAAAATGAAAGATAAATTTTCATGTCTTATTGTGTACTACATAGATATCTCAGATTTCGCAAAAAAATTCAATTATTTTCAAGAAAGTTATATCGTTAGAAACATAAATTTGCAATTAAATAAAATTTATATCAAATATTATTGCACTTTGCTAACATAACTGATTAAAATACATACATGCAAACTAAAAAACATTGACAAAAATAGTACTTTTGAATTATTGATCTCTTTAAATTTACGTTAATAATTCAAATAACTATTTTCACTAGATTTGACGATTACTTAATATTAATTATTACTTTTATGCGAGCGACTCCGCCGAGGATAAGAACATATATGTATGTATATATATATATATATATATATATATATATATATTTATATATAATTTTCGATTATTTTTTTATAAACTTTATTATATAAAATATTGCAATGTGTTTGAACTTTATCGATGTCCATCATGCTGCATAAAAATATAGGCAAGCTATTTTTAGGACATCTGTTATCTTTTTTTTACAAAGACGCAATATAATTTATTTTAAACTATTTACATATGTATATATTTATATTCAATTTTTTCAGAACACGCTGTACATTACGCTTTATGTGAATATCGTATGAAAATCGATTACACAATGTTTTACATAATTACAATAAAAATATAATGTAAAATAAATTTCTTACAGGATATATTTTATGTTAATAATTCCAGCAAAAATATTCTTTATTAAGTAAGTTTTATAATCGTTTACTCTTATCTTAATAGAGATTTATAGGATTCCAGTCTTCACATGCTAAAGATTTTATCTATAGTATAACTATGATATAATCATACAAGCTGTTTTATCATTATTAGTTAAAAGCTACAACTTATTTTTTGACAAATTTATTATCTATTTGTTTCAACAATCAGAATATCAAAAGATCGTTTTTAATATATTTTACACATACATATATGTGTGTGTATGTATGTATGTATGTATGTGTATATATATATATATATATATATATATATATATATATCTTGTTTTAACAAATTTTATTTCTAAGGTTTAATAAAATATTTATGAAATCTAATATATTTATATTACGAAATTTTAATTATTCCTTCTCTATATAATAACTCGTCAAATCATTGCTAAATATAAAAATCGACCTTGCATTAAAACATATATCATTTTAAATTATATAACGTCGACCATATAATGGTGTCGAGACATGCTATGGATGAAAAAATAGACATTTTAAAAATCAAATGTACATTCCTAATTAAAAAATTGTTCGAACATAATTACTTACTCAATATTACACATTTAACTTGTGGATATAAGAAATAATTGGACCGGCTATAATTTGTGCGACACGTTAAACAAACATAAGGAAATAATATATTATAAGAAGAATCCACATAAGGAGATGATACATTATATTGCTAATAGAAAAAATAGAAATTTAATATTGTATTAAATGTTTGAAATGATCAAAACAGGTAGACCATAAATTAAACTAGAATATATATTAGAGAGTATTTAGTAGTAAAATTTATAGAATGAGGAATATCATTTCCCCCAATATCATACATTATAAAGACAGATTGATAAATAACAAAAAAATTAATTATTTATTTACTATAGCATTTTATAATCTAATATTCTAATTAATATTCTAAGTTAACCTACTAGTGTAATTTTATTATAAAGAAAAAAAGTTGTTTTTATTTTTTTTCCAATTCTATTTGTACTATAGTTTTATAATTATAAGTAATGCTTACGTTTTTGACAGCTGAATCAGTAATATATGTATAATCGATCACGAGTTCGATACTTTGTTTTCTCTTTTTAACTACGTTTCCCCTCTTTTCTTAATAAACATTTTATAACTGGTCCAGTAATTTTCTTATGTCCATAAATCTATTTATGCAAATTTCATGTATTTACTGACATAGTTCTTATCTTCTTCCAATTTTAACTTTTCATCGTATTATTTTGTACATTGTTATTTCAAAAACTTCTAATTTTTTTTAACCTGAGTCATTCGTAAGATACAACTGCATTTGCACACCTAATGCTCAAAGATAGATTTAACAAATGTTTTTGCAGTAATATACTCATTCATATTATTGTTTAACTGATATATATATATATATATATATATATATATATATATATATATATATTAGATTTTAATCTTTTACAAAGAGATATTTTTTATTTTAATTAGTAATTTGTGAATTATTATTTGCACGTAATCTCTTTTTGTACATATATTGAAATAAATAAATTTAAATACATTGCATTTTATTTAATTAATTTGTAGAATTTTTCAGATCAACTGAAATTTTTGTTTAATTTTCTTTCTCTTTCTCTATTTTTTATATCATGCTACAATTGAGATTTAATTATCTTTTAGCATCTAAAAATTACATGAATAGAGAAATGAAACAAATTGATTAAAAGGGCATATGCAATCAAAAAAGAATCAATCAGATATGATTATCGTTACATGTTCGGATAGATAGCGTAGTACGGATTCTTAAATTGTTTCGAATTGTACACATTCGGATCCTCTACGGTAAACGATTGAATTACGTTAGCGGGCACGGTTTTCTGATTGTGCACATTCGCCATCATGTATTGCGGCGTGGATACGACTTGACCTACCGTCGCTTCCTCTACCAATTTTCTCTGAGAGTAGATCAGTAGTTGGGGCATGGGCGTATCGTTCTGCTGCGGCGTGTTGTCCGTCGCAGAGACCGCAAAACCGATCGTGGCCGTTGTTGAGCCGGATAACTGCTGCGCTTTGCACTTCTTCGTATGGGCGTACAATGATCCAGCATTATTGTAGCTTTTGGTACAAAGCTTGCACACATATGGTCGCTGACCGGTATGCGTGTACGTATGCTCGTTCAGAGAGGTCAATCGTCGGAAGGACTTGGCGCAGACGTTGCAATGATACTTGGCCTCACCGGTGTGCATGGTGATGTGTCGCGCCAGGGTGTTGGCTCGGGCGAACGCCCTGCTACAATATTGACAAATGTACGGTTTCTCACCGCTGTGAGTCCTCAAATGCAATTGCAAGTATGTGCTCTTGGTAAAAGCGCGGCTGCACGTGTTACACACGTACGGTTTGATGCCAGTGTGCGTGCGCATATGCGCCACCAGCGAACCGCTCTGGGCAAAACACTTGCTGCACTTCTCACAGAGAAATCGCTTCTGTGTGTCCTTCACTCGTTTGTGCCTCTCTACATGGTTCGCCAGAGATTGAGCCTGCGCAAACGCCTTCGGACAGAGCGCACATTTATGCGGCCTGTTGTGTCGGTCCTATAATAAGATATAACAGTTTGATTAGAATTACTTTTATTAGAGATGCGCTCTTCGAAAAACGAATAAAGGGAGAAAAAGATAATATAATTTTATATATTCTAACTTCATTTAATGCTTTCGAATATAAAATAAGTATACAAAATTTATAAATGATATTATAATAACAAACTTGCCTTCTTCCGACTCTCGGAATTCTCATTGATTTTGTTCTCATTATCCTCATCGTCATCATCCTCATCGTCAGTGTTCCCGAATATTTCCTCCTTATGCTTCGATTGTTCGTGATCTTTTAGTTTGTCAATTCTTGAGAACCCTTTCCCGCAGGTCGAGCAATTGAATTTCAAGCCGCTATGCGTCGAAATGTGTCTCTTCAGGTTTCTCTTTGTAGCGAAAAGCTTACCGCACTGTGTGCACTGTAAACTTTCGATCGGTAGATCGCTATCATCGTCGTCCTCTTCTTCTTCTTCCTCTTCGGATTCATTTTCTCCGAAGGTGTCTCTTGGTGTCCTCTCCTTCTGCTCGTTTGTTGTTTTATTTACATGCTGATCGAGTACATCATTCGAAGTCTCTTCGTTATATTCAGGATGAGTTTTAGCATGAGATAAAAAGGACTTTTGATATATGAATTGCTTTGAGCAAACTTTGCATGTAAATTTAAAACTTTTCTTCTCTTCTCTTGTGCCGTCCAACACGTTGCCACTTCTAGTAACTTTTGCCGATGTCTTAATTTTTTTATTTTCATTAATTTCTTGCGATATTTTATCATCCCCTGTATTATTTTCATGACTGTTAAGCACATGGCTTTTCAACTTAGCAATGCTCGAGAATTGTTTGTCACACACATAACACACATAACGCAGCTTTGTCTTGTGTTTATGTTTGTGTTTGTGCACAATCATATGTCGTTGTAGTGCTCCTTTCGTCGAAAATGATCTCATGCAAAGCAAACATCTGTGGTGTCCGATTGTTCTATTTATTAGTGGCTTCTCTTCATCGTCACTGCAATTCATAACGTTTTTCATATTTTGCTTGTCTGCTTCTAACATTGCAGAGTTTGAAACATTATGATTATTGAAATCCTCAAATGACGACGCATCGTTCTTAACTTCGACCTTTAATGCGTCTTCTCTATTTTCGTCCGTTAAACTTTCCGGTGTCTCATTGTCTTCGGACAATATCAACTGTTCCTGCTTGATGCGTCTGTCGTCTGTTGTCGAGTCGGACAATCTATTTGATCGATTATCAAGCGCATCATCCATACGTGCCTCGTGGCATAAGGCTACTTCTATTATTTCAGTGTTATGTACATTCTCTTTGAGTACATCGTATTGTGCATTATTTTTGCCATTTGATTCTATAATTTCCTCTGTTTTCTGCATAAACTCGTTATGTATACAAGATTCATTGTTAATTATCGCATCGGATTGAATGGTATTATCGAATGTAATCATATCGTGATGCGAATAGATTTTTTGTTCCACGATACGATTATCTTTATCACAGGAGGCTACATTGGATAGATTCGTAATTATATGTTTCACCATTGTTGTAACATCTTTCGCGTGTTTATCATGTAACATAGGTTGAATCTGTGATTTCAGGATCTGACGTAGCTTCAGATCGGAATCCTGAATCTGGCATTTGAAGTCATAAGACATGTCGAGCAGATGGTTGCAAGATAAACAGATGGAAGCTGGAAGACCATCTCCCTCCTCCGCCTGCGAAAACTTCTTAGTTAGTTTAACTTTGCATGTAAAAATATTATTTGCATATATGTACGAAGCAAAAAATAATATGCGGTATCAAAGTCAACGTTAATAAAGAACAATATTTGTCCGCATTCGAGAAGATGTGTCGGAATAAATTGAAACAACAAGGATAACAGAGAACAACCGCGTTCAAGATCACGAACAAGATAGGTATTTCGAAGGGTTACGGAGTACTTCGAAGGCAAAGAAGGCAAAAACTAACCTGCACGGCGGCGATTGCCATCAGCTTCTCCGATATTCCATTGCGAAACAGCTGACACGTTTCCGTGCACGACTTGAGACAGATGCGGCATTCGTCGCCCACGATTCGCTCTACGCGAGCCATGTTATTCATCATCACGTCATCGTTCGAAATTGCCATTGAAATGCACTCGGAGATGCAATCCACTTCGCGAAAAACACAATGCACCCAGTTACGTGCCACTGCCGCTGGCCACTACGCGGCCACCATTTGCTCCGACTCCGATGTGATCGACCATCGACTTCGAGTTGCGATATATCGACGCCGCTTGGAGAGATCTTGAAAATTTCCGCAGAGGGTAAAGGCAATAATTGAGCAAAAATTATGATTTCTGACTTCACTTTTAAAGCAACGGCAAAAAAATTACCCGTTGAAAATTAAGTGTGTGTATATATGTGTATATATATATATATATATATATATATATATATACATACACACACGCTATATACAGGGTGTTTCAGACCATCCGTACCACCCATTTAAAAAGAAAAAATATGTACCCACATAGCATACATATCCAAAAGATGTCCAGAAAGTATCCAGAAGATATCTTTGGGCGATTAGACATCTTCAGGATGTCCTGTTAATGTCTTTTGGACATAGGATGCTATATGGGTTAATTGTTAATTGCAAATTACATATTTTTTTTTAAAACAATTGAGAAGTTGAAAATATCATCATTCGATAGAGCGCATTTATAAAGAAATGTTTTTACTTTTTTGAAATAACCACTTTTCTAATAGTTTTTAAATGGGTAGTACAGGTGATCTGAAACACCCTGTGTGATGTGTACACACACACACACATATATATATATATATATATATATATATGTGTGTGTATTTAACCATCTAGTTTTTTGCTGTCTCTAGGATCACTACTTATGTATTGTCTAATTATTTAGTTTAAATATAAACAAAAACAAAAGTAGATATCTGAAAAAATAATTTTAATTACATTTAAAAAGTAACCCACACACAAAAGAAATATAATGACAATAAATCAAGCTAATTTATCATCATAAAATCTATTATAGTAAATATTAAAAGTAGAAATGTGTGAAAATAAATATAATGTTATTAGTATCAGAGATAAAGCTTTTGCATTCATTATTCATTTCATGCTTCTATTCTTACTTCAGAGAAATTCATTTGATACATTATGGTGGGTTGACAACACAAAACATTATGTTTTACCTTTATTGAGATATTTATATACACATAAATTTTACTTATCCATACATTACAGCGATATCTTACAAGTATCATAATATTCCTATACCTTGCAATTCTTGTTACAATCGATTAGCGGTAATGATTCTACATGAAAAAACAAATTGAAATTGTAAAGTGAAATGTAATATGTTTCCATGTGAGGTTTAGTTACTAGTAAGAAAATTGATTTTGCAGAATGAAAAATTAACGATTCTTTCTCTCTTTATTAAACTGGATAAATTTTAATAATCTTGTATTATCTGGTGAATCATTGATTTTATTTCAATAATCCACCAGAATACAAATGGAAAATAAAAATTCAAGTGGAAAAATAAAGATATGAGTTTAATATTTTTTACATATAATTTTCAGAAACTTAAATTACTTTTAATTCTTTTTTCAAAGAAATGTTTTACCCTCCCCCCCCCCCGTTATAAAGGACCATATACATATACATATATATATATATATATATATATATATATATATATTTTATATATACAATAAATTTTCTCATCCTATGCTAAATAATTGTACAACATCAGTCTTTAACGAAACGCTCGCTTCTCGTGAATACATGAAACTTTCTCTCACTTTCTACCTCTCGTTTTCTCATTCTCTTTCCATTTTATCGTTTCTTGTCTCCAACTTAGTTAGAAAAATTCATTATTCAATTCCAAAACGATTCTCTATTTATCTGTACACACTTTACAACTTGACATCCGACTCTTCTATTTTTTTTATAATCCTTTTAAGAGATGGATGATATTCTTATAATGACTATGCACGACTAACAACAGCCTGGCACTTAGTATCTGTATTCTTTGCGCATTTACAATTGACAACAGTATCATAATGAAATCTCTCAATATGGTATTAACAGTTAATATATCAATCACATAAAATGTTCTAGAAGTCGCATATCTTTTTATACACTGAGCAAATTAAAATTAATCTCTGAATTGAAAGAACAATGAATTGAATGAAACAACTCATTTGTCACAAACATTTTAATTTGCGATATTAATTTCATTAATATAATTAATATATTATATTGTTACCATATAATTTTATTCAAACTTGCCTCGAACTAAGATAAGCAAAAATCAAGTGCATTTTATTTCTAAAATTATTACTTTTTCTTTGCTATCTCTAAAATTGTGACTTATAGAAAGCATATAAACTCTATATAAATATTGCATAATTTGTCATATTATTTAATTATTAAACGCCAAGCTACACGGATAACGCATAAAATAAAATCACAGCTTTTTATCTTTACGTACAAAGATTTTTCTAATTGATGAAATAGACACATATATTTAAATTTATCAATATTATGATATACATGATAATTTTCTTTGAAACTTTTTGGCCAAAATTAATAATACAAACCAAGTGTCAACTGATTGGGTGCAAGTATATAAGTTCAGAAAATAATGCTTAATAAAAGTTTTTTAACGTTATGCAATTGTGTGCGCAGAACATATGTAGAGTTTAACTCTAAAATGTTGATATAAGATATTAACTTTGTATTTTAATATAAAAAATTAATCATTGTGCAGAAACAATATTGATAATTGAGAAAAATGTAATGAAATGGCACACATTTATGAAAATGTAATGATATTATTGTAATATTAAGTGTATTATTATAAATTGTTTAAACATTTTTTCAGAGATTAAAATTGTAATCTTTCATTATGCTTTAACAAAAAGCAAAAAAAGAAAAAAAGAAAAAAAACAAAAAAGCAGAAAACAAAAAACTATATAAAAATGAAAATGAATGAATGAATGTGTTGAGAAAAGTTATCTTTTGAAACGATTCTTACAGTGTTCCGCTCCAAATAAAATATAATAATTGACGCTTTTTTTATATTTCCAATAATCTCCTTAATATTAATAAATCTGTTTTTTTAATAGTAGTTTTAAAATTAACCACATATATGTTTCGGAATAGTTCGAAAAATAAATAGTGACAAAAAGTGTAAAAACTGTCTCATGTGCCTGATAACAGATCTGTAAAAGATGGACGCTAAATATCTATTCTTGTAATAATTTTTCAGCTCTTTTGTTAAATATTATACAATATACGATGTTATATATGACTAACTAATTTAATATATATGAACGCTCGTAAATGTACATCTATGATCTACATGTTCGATATGTACATAACGACGCGATATCTTTCTACATAAATAATGTAGAAACTATCAAAACAGAGATGGATATTCTAACATTAACTAACATTTTACATTGTTTTTTTTTTCTAAGTGCAAATTTGACCAAATATACATTGCTTCATTAAGGAATAATTGCGTCTTATCGTATAGCACTAACAAGATATCAGTGGGGAAAATTGCAAAATAATCTAATAAAATCGGATCATTGAAGAAATACATGAGAAAATGTATAAAATCGTGAAATAAAGTATATATAAGAATACCCAATAGAATTGTCGCTATATAATAAAATGAGAAATTGTATCTTAGGTATAATTTATGACGATGTTTAAAAAAATTTACAAAATTATTTTATTTCGAAAGAATCTAAAACATAATTATTTAAGTTCTTTTCTCTGTATGCATATATATGTATTCTTTCAAAATAATCCTTTTATGCAATTACATATTTCTGTTATGAATAATTGCGAAGCTGTTAAAAGCATTATTGAAAACCACTTTATCAATCTTTTCAAATTTCTGCAGCAAAACATAAAATTTAGAGACAAAAAATTCCTTCATACACGAATGTTTATAAAATACAATACAGCCATTCCAAGAATTTTTAAAAGTTATCCCGTAGATAATTTCCCGTAGATAAATGTTGATATAGTAAATATGATTTGGAGAAATTATAATCATAGATCGTTATAATAACATTCATAGCATTAAAAATATTCATTATAAATATAATTTTCATTCAATTTTTAAATTTAATAATCTAATTTTATTAATGATCATATAATATTAAATATATAGATCATATATTTCGAGAATAATTTTAAAATGTATCGTTCTTGGTAATATCTCTTATGCCCGATTTCACTAACCGCGTTTAATTTTAATTGTAGTTTAACTCACTCGTTATCTTTTTCTTTCTTTAGAAAGAGACAAAAAGTGAGTTGAACTAAGATTAAAGTTAAATGCGGTTGATGAAATCGGGTATTAAAGAGATACAATAATATACAAGTAAAATAATTGTTAATTTACAATATTATTGTTCAAGAATCATTATCTAATATAACACTGCTTGAAAATTGAGTAAAACCAATAGAACAAAAAAAAAACCAAATTAATAAATTCTAATTACAGAATTCAATATCGAAATATTTATCACAAGGTTATAATACGCATGAGTCTTACTAAAGCTTTAGAATGGAAGTGGGCTGAAGCTTTTAACGAGTGGATTTATATTGTTTGCACGACCAGAATCAGTTTAGATAATTGATTTTTAATGAAAATATAATGACATCTTTGAAACAACTTGAAACATCTAGTATAATTCACAAAATCGAAAATTGCTATTATATATGTTGTCTATCAAGCATTATATAATAACAAGTATTTTGCATAGCAAATCTGCAATCTTGCGTCTTTTTTTCATCTTTAATTTTATTCTTATAAATAAAAGATGTAAAAAAGAGATAGCATACAAGATGAAGAGAAAAAAAACTGCAAATTATGAAATGAAGAATAGCACCGAAAGCAAAACCCGTCAGACACTTAAAATTTACAATGACTATTATAGCATCACACATTCTGCTTTCAGATTTCTGGAGTTTTTCGGCTTTTAGAACAAAAAATAACCTGTCGAATAAATCTATAATACAATACAAGCCTTTATTCCGCATTCATATGTATCCACGATTTCGCGAGAAGCGGAGTCTCAGCTTCCTAATGTCTATGCGACATTATTAAACAACATCCGCTTTTCCTAATTTCACCTCTCTCTTTCTTTCCCTGCAAGATACACCGGGTCCATCTCCGGTACGTACATGCTACCTGAAAGGAGGAAGGACTACTTTTTGCTATATTTTTAAAGCACAGTGCAATCAATGCGCTGGTACCTTTTTGAGTACCCCAGGAGCAACGATTATGACATCGAGCATGTTTCCAACGTCGAGCTGCTCTCTTGTTGCATCTAGATGTAAGATTAGATATTAGGATGGTACCCCGAGAATACGCGCGATATTCGTCTGCCGCAGAAGAGAAAAACGATTGATGGTGGATGGCCCTTTACTCGGGGGCCGTAAGCAAGTCCTAGGCCAATTGCCTTTTCGTCTTAGCCTCGCTATAAAATTCCGATGCCGCATTGGTACTGGACGTCGTTACCGTAACAGGTCGGAAATGTCGTGTCAACACATATACCACCGCTTCATACGTTGCCATTATGATGGCAGTGTTTGGAATTTGCCGGATCAACTGGGTACCGAGGCCACGGTAGAGACCTTTTGTGCCCTCCTCTGCCCATACAGTGCTCAGAGTTTGCCAGAACGCGCGATATTTCGTACCTTCTTCTCGTAATCGGGTTCTTGCTACTTCTGAAAATGATAAGAAATTATACCAATATCTTTTTGATTGCATCTGCATCTAATTCACATGCAAAAATGATTATCAAAAATTTAATTTGAGAAATTATCGATGAGAAGATTTATAATTTGTAAAAAATTAGTTAAAATTATTATATATTAATTAATTGTATTATAATCATTTATTTAAATTAAAATCTTTTGATTAGAGTAATTTCTCTCTCGAATGTTTCTCTTAATTTTTCAGATTAGAATTTTAATAATTATTATAAAGATATATATATATATATATATATATATATATATATATATATATATATAGTTGTATAACGGTGAAAGATTCTTATACAAGAGTTTTTATAATGACAGTGATATGGTTTTATTGCTATCTGAATAAGTACAAATAATACAATAATAGTGCAATCAAAACATGATGAAATGATAAGATTGATTTCTTTTTGTAATCGTAACGATCATAATGATGAACAAATAATTCGTTAATATAATGGCACAATCATTTCTGAATAAAAGTGCTTCCTTTTTATTTAATGCACCAATGTTTTGCAGGAAACGTATGTAATCTGTGTATGATAATGCATGCTGATTTGCAAAATAAGTTTATCTCGAATACAGCATGATAGATGAGTATTATTTTTGCAAACAAAATACTGAAATGTCACAAACATTCGTAAATAATATTCAAAGCATAAATTGCATATTGAGTGCCTGGCATGAGTGCGAATAGCGAATAGCTCGTGTTATCTTTAGACCAACTCGGAGTAGCTTCTCTGCAAGGCAATGATAGAAAAAGAAAAGTATGTACTATTTTTCAATGAAATTAAGATATTATGCAGTTATAATTTATCTACATTATTAAATACAGGAAAACTCAATGCAATAAAAATTAAAATATCATTTGTTATCAATTCTAAAATGTGATAATAATCTAGATTCTAGATAAATGCACAAAGATCACTTCTTTCAATATTTATGCCATTTATAATTTCAAATAATCAATGGATATAACTCTCTTCATTTATACAAATTATAAAAAATTGTTAAATATTGTTAGAAATTAAATGAGCTGTTTGAATAGTAATATCAACATATTAGATAAGCAAGTAACTAAGTAACTAGTAAATACACACGAAAAATTGAAAACAAATTTAATTAATGCGGATACATGTGGATTTATAGCGTAGTTACGAATAATAATTTTACCGTGAGGATAGGCAACTGTTGATGCTATCGTTTTCGAAAACGATCCAGCCGCCATAAATTCAATGAAATCGCGGAACGTCTTCCTGTCATCTGCCTGGGAAGCTCGTGATCTGTGCGTGGCTAGCCATGCTTTCACTGCTTCGTATATCACAAAGTGTATCACAGTCTCACTTATGCCTATGTAGGATGCCACAATACCTTTATAGAATCCCAGAATACCCTAAGAAATATATACATATACACACACATATATATATATATATATATATATATATATATATATATATAGTCGAAACATACATACATATATACACACATTTCATATATATAGCTTTTCGTATTATAAATCTAACTTACTTCGAAATTGCATTAGTATTATAGGACATTTGTTATGAATCAAATAAATATCGCCTAGATTTGCAAATTTGTACAATAATAGTAAATTAATAATTTTGTTATATGAATCAAATAAATATTTTCTGCATTTTCAAATTTGTGTAATAACAGTAATAAACTAATAATTTTAATTATTAATTCTGAAATCATCTGTTTGTTCTAATTTTATGATATTGAAACAAATAAAAAAGAAATTAGTTTGCTAATATATAATTAAATTATAAGAAATTTTGTTAAAAAGTTCAGATTTTTAAAAAATAATTTATATACATATCATATAATTCAATTCAATTAATATATAATTAATTCATCATATCGTCGTATTAATAATTCACAAGTATATATTATGTAAATAAAACACACAAAGATAACTACGCATTACGATGTAAGTGTGTTACCATGTTATTAAAGGAAAATTGATTAAATTAATTATCAAAAAATCATTATTAAAGGTTCACGATCTTACACGTATCTCTGAATAATAAAGTAATAGCAATACAATATATAATAAAAAAAACGATATATATCTTATTAGCAATATATTTAAACTTGGACTTAATTTAGACTTAGATGCTCTCTTAAAAAATAAGAATACGTGATATCTGCGTGCTCAATTAAGGATAGCATTAAATCGAGTATTCATATCTGTGATAAGAAAGCTAAAATTATTTAAGATACTACTCATATTTCGTTGACCAACGTTGATCGATGTCGATATTGAATATCATGAGCGAATAAAATAATATTTTAGTGATGATATAGAAATTTATCGATAATCACACAATAAACTATAATAATATAAACAAAATAAATTAATTACCGTCTTATCAATTCATAATTTAGAATAAAAAATTGTGAAATGTGCAAATTATTTATTGTATGTATCATTATAATTTAAATTATATGGATATTTTTAATTGTTAATTTTTAATTTCTTATAATACATTTTTTTGCACTTTTGCTTCAATTAGTACTTCCACATTAATTATACGTAAAGTCAGTGCAAAGATAATGTATGAAGACGATAAAATAGGGAAGGTAGACTGCACGAGTGTTACTTGACATATTTTTTAAGATATTTTTACACAGATGTACTATTCGTAGAGCAAGGCGTCAGTTTTAAAACTGGCTCAATTCCGAGATGCCGGATGCAATTTCAGTACGTGTATGTATATTGTGCAGTCCACTCCTTCCAAGTAAACAATCTCGATTTAATACACGTCGAAGAACGATTCTTATGGCAAACAAACAATTTGTTCATATATTGGAATATTTCATATCGATATAAAATTTCTCATTATTTCATCTTTTTTTACGAGAAATAAAAATAATAATAAATATATTTATGTTATGTTATATTATGTTAAAGAAATTATTTCCGTGTAACTTAATCGTTTCTTTAAGGAATAAATATAACAATTAGTGAAATATAATTTTATAATATAATAATCTTCTTATGTTGTAAAAAGTTATTTTCTGTTAAATATTTAATATTTTGCATATATATATATATCTCGCATTAAATATAAAATAAAAAAGTCAAAATCTTACAAAAACAATCTAATAAAACGACAAATTAGATAATCTAGGAAATTTATAATTGTAAGAAGATTATAATATCATCGTTAAGTAAACTAATGCGCTTATTCGTAAGTATATCTCACAAATTTTGAATTGTCAAATTTCTTCCGATCTGTTAGAATTTTCAACATCTAACATATTATATGAGGAATTACATCAATTCTATATCCGATAAATCTATTTCGCTCCAACAAACATCAATGTTATATATATATAATGTATCTACATCGTCGCAACTGAGAAAATAATCTTGGCCGCAACTAGCATTTGTTAAATATCTATCTAATGACGCCCTTGCAACGTCGTCGTTAATTTCGTGCACTCCTCTATATCGTTTCAAATTTGTTTTAATTTGTTACCGCGTACAATTATTTCATCAAGTGATTCGACAATGATCTCGCGAAACCGATCGATAGACGATGCTGAGAGTTGTGCCAATTTTCTTTATAAAAGAAAGAAAATTAGGGAAGGAAAGAGAGACAAAAAAACCATCGGTTCTAGAAAAATTCAAGCGATATCTAAAAAGAAACTGTAAATAAAAAAACCAATAATAGTAGGTTTAATCTTTTTGTAAAAATGTTATTTATTAAAAAAATGATACACACACACACACACACAAAATATTTATCTTTAGTTATTAAATTTTAATTATTTTTAAATTATGTCACTTCATCTCTAAGTATCACTTCAATAACTGCATTCCATTAACTCTTTAAAGTGCACCCTTCCCTTCTTTAGTTTTATTTAATTAGCTATTTTTACAATATGCAATTTATTTTATTATTTCTTAAGTATTATTATAAATTTTAGGAGATTTACTTTTTTTACGTTGATTTATGTAGTAAAATTTATTTTAAACATCAAGATATTCCGATGATAAAGGGAAATTAACGATATTTAAAGATTAATATGTGAATATAAAAATATGCGATATATTAGAAAGGATTATTATGTGGAATGACATTTATCGAATTCATTTTATCAAATTCCTAATCGCGTGTGAAATGAGAAATCTATCTATCATCTTACCGATTTTTGATATATCCTCCGCATACATTCTATTGCTGTAACTTTTTGCGATCGATGATCCAGCTGTAGTCTGGTTTTTACGAACCAAATTGGATTTGTTAATGTACACGCAGTGAAACCTGTAAAGTAAATGACTGTTTATTGAATCTACATGATGCTCTGCGTATCTATCATGAACGAATCGATATATTTATTTTCTCAACAAATCATCAATTTAAGAATAATAATTTATTATTCAATAGATACTTCGTAAAAAATTAAATTTTATTAATTTATATCTATAAAAAGCAAAATATTCATTCTTGATGTATCTTACATATATATACTGATGTATATTAAAAAAATCGAGCATTGTGTTTGTAAGAAAGTAATTCTTTGCGAATATCTGAATTGAAAAAAAAAATGATAAACTATTCTTAAATGCTTAAAAAAAATTTACATGGCTAAAGTTTTTTTCTTAAATTTTGTACATATCAATAACACTATGTAATAAAAAAGATTTATATATAATTTATATACATTGTCATACGCTTTGCTCTCTAAACTGATTTTAGTTTCGATAATTTTCATACAAAGAAATTTAAACAGCTAAAGTATCAGATTAAAGAACGTCTTTCTATAATATATTATTTCCTATATTATTTATATCTCTCTCTCTCTCTTTCTTAAGCTTCTTATTTAATAATGATGCGAAAGAAAGTATCTTGCAAGAGTGCAATTCGATATTTTTATTATAAAAAAGTTTGTGTGTTCTTTAATAATACTCTTATCAGAAAGAATTTAATCTTTTGATAATATAAATAACCAAGAGGATAAAATAATCGAAATAAAGATCGGTATTTATAAAATTTAAATAGCATTAAAAATTCCTGTGTGTGTGTATATATATTTTGCTAATTATACAAAATGATAGTATTCTTGATCTATTTGTAGAAGCATAATTTTAATTTCTTTTTATACACATAGAAACTCTAGTTGCTTATACTTGAAAGTTATATTGTATAAAAGATTTGTTGTTTTTATTAACCCGATTTTAAAGATCGCCAAAACATTGTATTATTTGTGCTACAACGTATACACTGAAGAGACATGTGGGTAATGCACGAGACATATGAGTTACGCAATCGAAAATACTATACATCGTATAACACACACTTCATTCCGCGCACTTGATAACTTGTTTACGTTCTATTTACTTTCTTTACGTTATCAGAGGTTACTTTAAATGCTGAACTCGAGATTCCATGTGTTAAAGAAATCAACCTAAATAGAGGAATAAAAATTGAAAGAACATAGAAGAAGATTGATAGAGTATCATTTCGATTATATTAATTTCGCAAAAATATTCAGAGATATTGATTTCGCATAAGATGCGAAAATTGTTTAACAATGATTGTTGGAGAAAAGTTTTTCAATTTAGAAAATCTTATTGTTGGCGTATTTAAAAATAAATGCGACTATTTATTTTTTGCGCTTAAATATGTGAATAAGATATATGTATGTAACCTATAATATTTGATAATGCATATTATGTATGTTTCAAAAAATAGCAAAAAGCTATACAACGCGAATAAAGATGTACTCGAAAGAAATAATGTAAGGAAATGTTTTATAATTTTTTAAATGTGTGTGTATTTTGCGTCTTTACTTTAATAATTAATTGGAAAAAAAAACTTCCTATTTAAAATTGTGAACAAAAAAATGTGATCATTATTCATAAGTAAACTTTAATTTTTTCAATATAATAATATAAAATATAATAAATGTTTCGTGATATCACTATATCAAAATTGATCAGTATATCAGTATATGTGCATCGAGTTTAAATGCGCTATAAACAATTGTTAGCATTATAATTGCGAACTACTATTATTATGTAATGTTTAAAGGAACAATAGATTCTAATTGTGGATATATATATATATATATATATATATATATATATATATATGCATATAGATTATCCTTTCGCGATTACTTTTATTTTAAAATAATACGTTCGTGTTACTTTGTAAATATTCAAAAGCATTAAATGTATTAGAATATGAGTCACATTCATTTGATAAACAAAAAACGAATTTTAAGAATTTAGGATCTACATGTTGAAATTTTTGAAATTTGCGATATTACCGGTTTGTCAATATAAAGAAAATCTACGAAATTTTAGAATAAAAAATAGAGAATAAAGATGCATAACAACAACTTGTGTCATCGTGTTGAATGCGATGTATCGGGGGTTTCAAGCGGTGCTATTTACAATCGTAATTGAATCATTTGATAAAAACAAAACGCCAAAAAAAACACGCACGAGAGAGTCACTCTGCATTACTGATGTACCATGCATTATCATCGATCTTGATGCAATTCCTGTTGCACCGTTGCGGCCGGCGCGACACACGATTCTTCGATGATAGTATTATGTTGTACGTTTGTCCAACCGCAAAGCGCGTGGAAGGACGGGCACTGAATTACTCGGTGAGGATGGCTAAAAATAGCAATATACTGTCGGAGAGGTTCTCTCTTGCTTGCCGACGAAACGGTGCATGGCGCGATAGACGGAGAGAAGAAGAGGAAGGGAGAAAAAGGAAAGACGGAGAAGAAAAAAAGAAGGGAAGAGAAAGAAGGAAGATCGTCGAATACATCTGGGCGTGACTTCCTACATCCAAAAACAATTCAAGGTTGAATTAGGCAAACATTAAGTAAATCGATATTTCATGTGTGTAGAACTCTCATTCTCTCTTGAAATATATGAAATTGTATGTAATGAATCTTATAAATTATGTCATTCTTTTACACTAAATTTTTTCTTTTGCACAGACATATTCAATTCTTATGTGCACATACATACGTGTATGTTTTAATATTATTTTAATTCTCCATTCAAATGAATATTTATTTGACACATTAAGAGGGAAGTATTATTGACATATTTTTATGGAGGGGCTAAAAATGGATTATATGAGAAATCTTTTGGAGAAGAAATTAATAATTACAATTAAACATATTTTTTTTTATTCAGAGTATATATCTTTAACTACTTTTATGAATCTTTTAAACTTTACTCGTATAATTAAAATAGCGATTTTAGAATCGGAGCAAGATATGTTTATTATTGCGTTATTTCGTCATTTTAATTATATACAAATCGCGTTTAAATAAGTCTCAAAAACATACACATAGTTAAAGAGATACAGCTTTGAATAAAAATAATTCTTTCACATTTCTTACAAAAAAAAATCAAATAACTTTTAATCTACTTTTAACTACATTGAATCTGTCGAAGTAACGCCTGTCCTTTTTAATAGCAATCTTGAATTCTAATATCTAAGATTTTGTTTCAACAACTTCAATAAATAAATATATTATATATATCTTTTCGATTTACTACTAATCCTTTTAAAAAATGTATTATTACATACAATTTGCTTCGAAGAAATTAAATGCGAGCTGCAAATGAAACGTCATTGTTTGAGATAGTCTATATCATTTGTTTACGTTGATTTCCGATGTATCATATGGTATCAAATGGTATCATGAATATGCATACGAATTATAATCGGAGTGATTGCAAATCGCTGAATGTGGGAATTCGTGAATGATGATAAAACTCAACAGAGAAATCAAATAACATCTTGGCATCAAAATATGCTTTTCGCTCCACAAACGTGCACAAGTGCGTCATTCTATTCACAGATTTATTAAAATGTTTTAAATTAAAAAAAAGAATCGTTGAAAAAATAAAAAAAGAAAAAATGTGAGACGTAAATTTTCACTTCATATTCTCGACTAAATGCGTTTGTTAAGTTTTATATAAGAAAAATAAATTAAACTAAATAAAAACTAAATTATTTGAAAAAGTAATATATATATATATATATATATATATATATATACATAATATATGCTATATATTAACATATAAAATAGAAATATCTATTTAAAAGAATAATAAAATTTCATTATTCACTTAATGACATGTAGTATCTTTTTGTATTAATTAATCTGATTATACATATATTGTATATATATTAGATATAAATAAAGATTTTTAATATATATTAGATATAAATAAAGATTTTTAATATTATTAACAATATTCAATATTAAATATGGATAGAAATTACAGATTAAAATGTAATATATCAGTATTTTTTTAATCAATAATTATGTGGCGCGTGCGTAACAAATATCTTCTAGAATAGATTGTTTTATCAAATTTTTTATAATTAAATAAGATTTTTGAAGTTATACATTTTAATGAACTGCATTGTCTTTCTTTTTCATAACTTTTTATCTGCAAGACTAGTTTATTTCTTTTTTAGTTTTAATCTATTTTTAGGCTATTTGAGACTGTTAAATAAAAATGATTGTGGGAAAGTCGTTACCAAAGACAAAAACTAGAAAGAGATTATTACGAGCTCTCAATCCAAAATTAATCAGAAGGCATATATATTTGCATGGATTTTATGTAATGCCTAATGTATTTATCTTTATAAATATCACGTACACATGATATAGCATTATTTTCACAGCCAAAGCAAACCATATATAGTTCGCGCCGATACGAGATGTGAATGATACAAATGACATTCAACCGTCAATGAAGTAATTGCGCTATAGATTAGATTCTAGGATGTAAACAATTGTTATAATTGATCACTGATCAACGTTTGATATAATAACAATGAACAGAAATAAAAATTGATTGAGAATATTGAAGCTGCAACTGCAACGTTGCCGGCACAATGGCATTTGTACATTATAAAAATAAAATGGAATTTCTTTTTCTTTCTCAAATTTGTGAAATTAGCGAATAAGCGATTCATACAATGATAAATAATATCAAGAAAGATATCAATTGCAATTAAGCTGATTTTGATCTGTCTTTTAAAATTATGGAAATTAATATAGACCATAGTTACAAAAATAGAATTGAAAATAGAAGTCTCGTAATAAGACTTGAAAAAATTCATTGAAAAGTGGTAAACATTTATTATTTAATGTAACAATCTTTTGACTTGAAATGTCATCTGGTATAAATTTCACAACTTTCAAAACTTTCAAAACTGTCCTTTGTTGTACTCTTCCAATCAAAAATTAAATTGTTATTTTTAATTATTTTGAGTCAGACATCTCCTCCTCCTCTTCTTCTTCTTCTTCTTCTTCTCTCTCTCTCTCTCTCTCTCTCTCTCTCTCTCTCTCTCAAATGTGTTTTTTTTAAATAGTATATTATTATATGACACTTTATGAAACTTTGATTTGCTTATTTTAATAGTAATTTTAATAATATAATCTTGTCTTAATATTAACCTTTAATTTTAATAATTGTTTTTTAATAATAATCTATAATTTCAGATAATTCCCTTTATATAAAAAAATAATTGTTTGATATGGAAAATCGAAGAATTGCTTAAAATCAAAGAATAGCGTAAAATCAAAGTTAAGTTTCTCAAGGAATGGAAGAATCGGCGGTTGAAAAAAAATTCTTGAGTAGTCTATACTTACGTCAAAGCGATGCAAATGATAAACAATCATATCGCGAGAAGAAGAGACACACGCGCCGACCGCATGGCTCCCCTGCGAACAGATCTACTAGTGAGCCGATCGTTATTCTTGTGGTCAAAGTGCAATATTCCGCATGAATAACTCCTTACATCGCCTTATTGGCCATAATATACCGAGTGCCTCAAAAGAAGCGCATTTCTGCATGCATAAATAAATGAAAATGCGTTTGCAAAATATTTAATCGCGATAAAAAAAGTGTCAATGAATGTTAATATGATAATAAAAATAATAAAGTATGCATTGTAAAGCATATTGTATTATGCAACAGTCGGTACTTTTCGTTGTTTTCGTAGAATGCGGTTATTTCGAACAAGAATCTCAAAGTAAAACGAGATAAGTGATATATGACTAGATACATAAAGGAGTCATATAGAATTTGTTAAGTTGATTCGTCACGTGACCAATTTTTGTTCTTTTTATTCAAGTTGTGTCCTCTGTACAATTCGGTGTTACTCAAGCGGAATACTAAACACATGAGATAACAATAACCTTTGTATTTAAACACTAAATTACACATATTTATTCAGATAATAGTTAATTGAGTTTTTTAATCTTAAGAATGCCTTATTATGTCTTTTATGCATGTTTTCCGCCTCTAAGAATGACATAAAAGTATGGAGATAACAAAAAATATATTTAGAACATTTTTGGTTTACTTATCTGTATGTATGATGATACGTTAGTACACAAGAGATTAATATAATTCTTCTTTTTCTAAAATGATCTTTTAAACACTTGTTCATCTAATGCCATTGCACAATTTACACGAAAGATATATAAAAAGTTTCTTCTCATTATTAACTTGTGAAAATTTAAAATTTTTTCGCGATTAATGTTTCGATTCTTGGAACACTTAGTTTTCAAGCTCTTTATTTTATACTATCATCTTCAAATGCTATTTATATTAATAAAGTCACATATATGTTTATTAACTTTATATTCAAATATATAGCATAAGACTAATTGAATTTTAAAAATTCGGTCTTATTTTTAGTAAGTTTTTTAAAAATTCTTCTCAACAGAAATTACGAGTTATTTTGTTAATGACTTGTTAAAAAAATTTACAATTATTATACTTTATTATAAGCAAAAAGCATTAAAATCAATGATTATTGAATAGAATAATTGTGTCCACAGTATCTATGTCCTCGAGGGTTATCGACATCAGGGGAGTTCGAGTTGTGCGTTAGAGAAACGAAAAACGTCCATACTTCATAAATTCATTAAAGATAAACGCATGTCTGAATGATACGCAAAATATTATTTCCCTTATTGAACGTTAGTAGTTGTATATTTACCGCTATATATATAAATTTAGTGATTGGATTTACTGAAGAGTAACAACACGACATCAAAATATGCGATCTGCTATCATATGAATACATTTGCATCTTTCTATTTTTTCTCTGTTGCATCATCAAGATCAACGCATCACGTTTCATATAAAAAAATATAAATCAGAAAAGTGATTCTCTATAATGAGATATTACAATGCATGCAATGTATGATGAGATTAAATAAAAAAAATTATCTTATTCGATCTTTAATTTATCGTAAAATATTTTAAATTTAACAAAAAATATTTTAAAGATATATTCATTGATTGTAAATTGGATTGTAAATTTCAGATTAAATTTTCTTAAAGAAAAAAAAACCAGTTTTCCAAATAGTTTAATTTTTTACTTAAAGTTTTAAGAAAAGTTTCAGGAAAAGTAAAATTTTGTTTTTGACTCTTTCAACTGAGCTGAATGAAAATTTTAATCAAGAAACTTTGTCACAGCCTTTTTTTTCAATTGTGAAAATAATTGTGTGTGTGTCGATAAGTAAATTAAAAATTTTTTAAAAGTTACATTATTCATCCACGATTTGTCATTTAAAATAAAAGACTAATAAAATTTCTCAAAATCTACGATAGAAAAAGAATATGAAATATATTACAATTTAATGTAAAAAAATGATTCATAACACAGTTATTTACTTCTAAGATTATTGATATTTGTTTCTGAGTATTGTTATAATTATTCATCTTATCTCTCGGCTATTACGTCTTGATCGTTTGAAAAAATAGTTTATCTCCCGCTAAAGATACGAAAATAGTAGTTCAATGGAAAATAGTTACACAAGAGATATAGAATAGTGATACTTATAATATGCGCCGTAATATAATTTTAAGTTTAAGCTGTTATGCATATGCAATGTGTGACATTTCGCAAAAAAAAAAAAAAAAAACGCGAACTGATTTAAATTAAGCAACATGAGAATATAATACCATTTTAATCATGATGATAATAACAAATCGTGCTGAACGATTGGCGCATATCGATTAATACATTATTATTATATTCGAATATATTTAATATATTTTTAATATATTTTCCTTTGCATAATATTATTATATTGTGCTATAAAATCATTAATAATTGTTAATTGATACATGATGCAATTTACTTTGTAGATTCATTTAAGAAAGTATGTAAAATATATAGAAAAAAAGAAACAAACAATAAATTGTTTTAGTGTATAATTTATATCAGAATATAAAATATATGAATAATTAAAATTGTCAAGATAAAGAGAGAGAGAGAGAGAGAGAGAGAAAAAGAGCGAAAGAGAGAAATAAAATACAAGTGATTAAAATCAGTTTTCGCTTATATATTAATCTATGTTTACATTGGCAAAAAATATATATCTGAATTAATGTACAGGGTGTTTCATAAGTGGTGGGCAAAATTTCAGGAATGGATTCCTCATGCTTAGAGAAGAAAAAAAAGTTAACATAGGACCGGAAATGATTAGTTTTTGAATTATTAAGATTTTTGTAATACAAAATTTTGTCTTATTTCTCGTCTTAGAAGTCCTTTTACAGGCATCAACAATGTTTTTTAGGCCGCCGAACTTGAAAAACATTGTTGATGCCTGTAAAAGGATTTATAAGACGAGAAATGAGACAAAATTTTGTATTACAAAAATCTTAATAACTCAAAAACTAATCATTTCCGGACCTATGTTGATTAACTTTTTTTTCTTCTCTAAGCATGAGGAATTCATTCCTGAATTTTTGTCCACCACTTATGAAACACCCTGTATAAAGATTAGACTTTTCAAATAAATAATAAAAGGATAATAATATAAAGATATTTCAATTGGTATAAATAATATTTTAGTGTAATAAAAATTTATATATAAAGATAATATATTATTGTAAGAGAGATCTTGCAAGAGTGATTAACGTTGAAAACGTCAAGAAGTAAAATATGTAATTTTGCATTATTAATTTTGAAATTTCACACAATTTTAAAGTATGATATATAAAGATTAAGACAGAATAGATCACAATTATAATCATCATATACATACATATATATGTATATACATCTATTTCTAATTTTTTATTATACATGTATTTATAGGGAATAACAGAGAGAGAGACAATCGTAGAAATAATAGAAAATAACTCTGATAACATAGCAGAGGAAAAAATAGTAAAAATGATAGAAAAAAGGAAAGGAAATAAGAAAATAGGAAAGAAGATAGGATGAAAGAACGAGGAATAGCAGAAGAAATTTAAATGTCATAAAAAAAAGAAAAATTCTGATCATGTTAACATTAAGCAAAATAATACAAGAAATGTCAAAAAAAAAAAGAAATCACAATTAAAAAAAACAATGAAAAAAAAATGATCAAAGTTAAATAATATATTTGTCATATTAATTTTTGTTTGCTCCCATTTGATTTATATTCGAATTTACTTAAAAATACGAAATGCAAGTCGAACCAATGTACTAAAGGGGAAAAAAAGTTAATATATTCAAGTATGATAAGCATTATAGTAAAGAATTATCTTATCTTACTAAAGGCACGCGCGGGAAAAACAAGAACGATATTATGTTAAAGGCGCGCGCGAATCGATCGTTGATGCCGATTGTTCGTATACATGTAGATATAAAATTCAATCTCAGATAAATACGAGGAGTTTAATATATAATAAACGGAATATATTCAGCTTAATATTATTACAATTGCGTAATCTTACCAGCGCAGGACGCGGCGAAAACATGAACAATCGGTGTGTCGGGAGGTAGGATCGCGTTGAATGCAACTTTGCTCTTGGAGTACGCACAGAAATAGATAGCTCTGGACGGTGCCACTCCGATGAGATTAGGACCGAGACCTTTGAATAATCCTCGTGCTCCCTCATTCTTGATAATATATCTTAAGCATTGATAGATGCCTGGCGCGTGTCGGGAAGAATTCGGAGGCGAGGTCGAAACGCCAAAATGCGAAAGGGCCACGAAGTGGCTGGAATATCTGAACATAAAAGAGAGAGAGAAAGAGAGAGAGAGAGAGATAGAGAGAGAGAGAAAGGGACGGCTAAATTTTTAGAATACATAGATTTTTCTCTCAAATTGCATAATATTAATTTTTCTCTCCATAGTATTTAACTTTTACATGCGCATGATTCAACATCAACACATTATGTAAAATTTCTTGGTTCGATCGACATAATTGTGATTTTTTTAGACATTTTTTTACATGAAGAATCTAATGACAATTTTACAAAAATGTTCGCGCGCGCATTATAATTGTATTATGTATATGTGCAATAATAACACTTATATATTTTACTTATTTTTACCTGGGATATCCAGTGCATAGCCTCCTACGTTGTTCAGGCGTCGGCGAGCCCTTGCACGTGGGATGACCGGATGTGAATTCTTTATTTACTGGCGGCGGATGAAAACCGGAAGACGACGACTGCAATCGGGTCTTTACTACTTCGAGTGGACAAGTCACTATCGCTCCTGCCGTGCCAGCCACTCTATGCGAGATGGAATTAGAAAGGAGAATTTATGTGAAACTTGCGTGAATTGCGTGCCATGTTATCTATTTGCGATTACGATAATCAATTTTTCATATCAGTACAATAACAAAAGTACAATAACAGATATCAGAATCTTTCAGATTCTCATATCTACTTCTATTAATGTACTATGATAACCTCCTGTTTTTTAATTTACGTTTAATTATTTTATTCTTTGATATTTATAATTATATACTTAAATAATAAACATTTGATAATTATATACTTAAATAATAAACATTCTGTTTATAAATGTGTTTTTTATATACATATATATAAAATTATGTCGCATAAGTTTATTTTTGTTAACTTTGTTAAAATCTCTAGAATAAATAATTTTAGTGTAGAAAAGTCATCATTACCTTTCCAAGAATGAAAAAAAGAAGTTCGTTATAAGTTACTGTTTGCAATCAATTTTCATGATGAAAATCATAATGTAAATCATCGTGAAAATTATAACAAAATGCTATTAGTGTAATAATTTATAATATTTAAAATGTATTCAATTAAAAGAATATTTAGAATATATTCGATCAAAATAAAGATAGAGGAAATAAAATGTTTGTTACAATTTGTTAGAAATAAATTGTATAAATTTGTCTTATTATTTCGTCTTTATCTCACTAGAAAAAATGTAGCGAGAGATAAAAATTATATAATATTGTTGATATAATGGTAAAAATATGAGAAATATCGCAAGACAATTCTAAAGAGAGAAGATGAATCAATATTTATTCAATGCAAATTCATGCGCAGAATTGACACAACCTCTTCAATTTTTCCAATTAGATCTACAAGAATTATTTTATCGTAGCGCAAAATACGATATACATTAGCAATGTTAGTGAACAGGTATTCATTGTTTGTTGCAATGTGTTAATATAATGTTGCGTTTATATTTAATAAGGAGATCTAATTGTAAGATAAACAAAAACTAAGTACATTGAAAAATTTATAGGAAATTAAACATCTAAAAAATTTATTAAGCTTTAATAATATAAATAGATAGATAAAATTTATTTTATTCTCTCGTAACATTTATTTTTGTAATCTTGATAAAATTTTACTTTAAGACAAAAAAATACTTACATAAAAGATTTAAAAGTTACAAGGAATAACGTTTCATGTAACTTTCCACTAAGCAAACATTAGTTTTAAATTTCTCAAAGCACACGTTAATATAAGAGAAAACATAATAATTGTATCCGCGTAAATTCAAAATCTTTGAAAAAGATACATGTACATGTTGTGTTACGAGCGCAATTTAATGGAAAAATATGTTTGATTTTCGAGGATGCCTAACTAGTATAATTCATCTGTCTTTAAATTGCTGTTGCATGTCGTACTTTTTGTCAACACCAGAGGAACGTAGTATGTAAATTAACATTAATTCACACGTTGCACATCGATGGACATCAGTGTATCTTTCCGCATTGAAAAGCAGGTACGTTTTTGCGTTTAATTCTTGAGTGCATAATAAACGCCACTAGGCGTAGAAAGTTTGCAAATTGAGAGAAATGAGAAGTTTGCAAATTTTGCAAGTTTGCAAATTGAGAGAAATGAGAAGAACAATAAGAAGTTTAGTGATTGAGATTATTCTTGTGACATTGTTTTAAATTTTCAGTTTATATTTCGGATATAATAAGAAAATAATGAAAATAATTTATAGTCAACTTATTAACAATCATTAATTTAACAATCGTGTTTATTTGACAATCGTTAATTAATTTTGCTTCAATCGATTTCGTAAGAATTTATTTTTTTTTATAAAACTGTAAAATTATAATACTAAACGATGATGCAATGATAAATAAAAAAAATTATTCCACATTCAATTTAATTTGATCAATAAAGAATAGTTTCCTAGATTTTTCTAGATTGTCCTTTAACTGTAACTATTAACTAATTGATTTATACTAAATGTTATGAATTTTAAAATAGTTTATAATAATTGATTATTGACATTTATATTTTAAATAATTAGCATTATAAATTTTTCAAATATATAAAGTCTTGAAGCAAAATATCCAACATATAAAATAATCAAAAAATTGTTTAATTCTTCGTCGTCGATCAAACGAGAAACGTTAATCTCTTTATACAATTTACATATTTGACCTTTCAAATGATCTACTTTTGGATGAAAAGAAAGGACATATCAGATACCGCGAAATCAATATCTCATGATATATACGCCATAAATATATAGAGTGATCTAATAATATGTACAGTATAATCTTTTAATAAACTAGACACACACACACACACACACACACACACACACACACACACACACACACACACACACACATATATAATATAAATAATTTTCATAAATTCGTTAATTTCTTTACGAAAAATCAAAAATCCAATTGGAAAGTTTTAATTAAATTTCAAAAATTATGAACATACAACAAGAATTGTTTTTTACTAATCTTAAAATTAATTTTAATTTTAAAAATCCAATCCAATTTAAATTTTAGTGTTTTCAATTATATTAAAAATTAATGTTTAATTGATTTTTTTTCATTGTTACATGAATTTGACTTTAAGGTCTAAGCAAATGATTTTGAAAAACGTGTATTAATTCGATAAAATTGCATCAATAAATATAATCTTTAACATCATAATAACATCATAAGAATGGCCTTTTAAAGGTTTTAAAAGAATACATTTTTCAATACTTATTGATTATTTTTTTAGACGTAGAAAATTTTATATATTATATATAATCCTATTTTCTGCTATGATATAAAATTACGCATCATGATGTAATCTTACTCAATTTTATGATATGTATGTTTCAAGAAATTTCTTCCGATTATTCGAATTGTCTAATCGAAAATTTAGCTCGATAATTTTTTGGAATATTTTCCATGTAGTCATGAGAATTATCGTGCAAAAATGTGATGTGTCAATATATATGTGTATGTATATATGTATACATGTGCGCGCATCCAGATAGCGAATGCAAATATATAGCGATTGACACACGTTTTACATAACTGCGTCATCGAATTCCCTTCCGAACGAGTAGGATATGTGATTTTATAAATATGAATCTTATATTTCGGCATTGTTAAGGCCGGCTATTTAATATATTGCGCATACTATTTGCGAAATGTATTAACGTGAACACAAATATGTGCATTGTATATAATACAAACTATGTAATATAATATATTTAATATAAATGTGCAAATCAAAATTTACATCTGACATTAATCAATTAAAATAATACTAAAAAGAATTAATTTTTATATATATTTTATTTTATATATACTTATGTTTGTGTAAATTTCTACTATTTATACTATTTATTCTTATGTATATAGGTATTTTTAATTTATTAATTGTTAATTATTATTATTATTCTGTTTATTTCTCTGTTATAACTATTGATATGATTTTCAAAAGAATAAAAATAATTAGAAAAAAATTAATCAAGATTGTTTATTCTAATTTACAGTATTTTTAAGATGGATCACACACTCATAAATAAAGATAAATTAATTTTTTCTTATATTTTAATCGAACATACGAGTTATATAATAATAATCACCTTAAGTTTATTTTGATATTAAAGCTGTATTCTTTTTCTATACGTGAGTCGAGATTTCATATAACATAAATAAATGTTAATTGTAATTTATTTTAATTAATTCAAATTGTAATTTATTTTAATTGACTCAATTAGACTATATTATATAGAAAGGGATTTTGTTAATAATCAGGATTAGACAATTTTGACGAAAATCAACTTTATTTAATTATATCGCGGAAGAACTGTAAACTAAGAGTCGACAATAACTCATTAAATTAGAATCGATTAAGATTATCAGTTCATATGCAGATTTCAGATTTCTTCCATGCATACATTTTTATCGTATATTTTATCGTGTATTTTTTATCGTATATATTGCAGTATCATAATTGTACAAAAAATGAAAAATTTATACAGATGAATTTATACTATTGATAAAGATATGATGCAAAAAAATTAGTAGATACTATAACCGTTAAAAAAATGAAAACTTTAACAAAAAAACTGGGTTAGTCAATATGTCAATATGTGGAAATAATGTTCATTTTTAAAAAATTACTGATTGCATTTTTGTTTTGCGCATTACAGTTATTCTCATAAATGATACATACATATTGCAGAACATCGATTACGTTAGAACGTAAAAAGAAGATCCTTTATCAAGCTAGAAATAATTGTCTGATAATTTCGTTATACGATCGCATACTACGTTACTAGTACATATCATTTGACATGAATCGCGGACATATCAGGCTATAATTCATGTGCGTATTTTTTTAAGTCATCGTCATAATACATACCTAATAATAATTTTAATTGTGGTTCGAGAAAGATCAAAGAATTTTAAAACTTTCATAGGAATATTATTCGTGATCTTCAACATGTAAAAAACAAAGGCAATAATTGAGAGACCATCGTTTTTATAAGGTTATAAATGCAAAAAAACGAGTTGATTTTACACAGTAATGCGTTATAAAATGCCCTTGCGATAACAACAATTTATCTCGTTTTTATGTTTATCTTATGAAGACGTTAGCATTACACTTAGATCTCGATATAGAATAAAGAAGAAATATCATCGAGATATTTTTGTTGCAAGCTTTCAATATTCGATAATAAATATTTTTGCAATTTTTATTAAATTATCTTATTAAAGTATCACTCAAAACTAAACGAATTGTTATCGAAATCATAATGAGTTATGTTGATCAATTTTCTGAGAATTTATAAAAAGCAATGTTTTTTTGTATTTCTCTTATTTGTACACTATCTAGATAATTATTTTAATATTGATTTTACATATATAAATATATGATATATAAATATATTGCGTTTTAATTGAAGTATTCCAAAGATATAGAAAGAAAGATAGCTTGTAATAATTTTAATCTACATAATAACAAGTGTGTGTGTATATGTATATATATATATATTTCTATAATCACATCTGTTTGCATGTAAAACTTTTTCATACACAATACATAATGAAAAGCAAAGAATTCGATAGCGGTGCAAATTCAATTTTCCTTTAAAAAACTTATGTTTTTTATGATAAATTTGTATTTTTTTTGTAACAAGTGATTCAAATTTGAATTTTAGTATCTGTTTATCCTATTTGAAACTCTTTAACCTCACATAATCCTTTATTTTTAATCGATTGTAATAAAAAATGATCAGTTTCGAATTATTTTTAAAAAAATCGATTAATTATCAAATAATTAAACATTGAAACATTTATAGATAAAAAGAAGGCCAATAGGTATTCTTATCATGTATATATTGAAACTTGATCTTAATCATATTCAAACAGAAACATGTGATTTGAAAAAATGTTGTAAAGCACCTGATCGAGATCACGTAAATTGAGCATATCGGGAAAGGAGAGATCAAGCCAACCCTAAAGCAAGTCAAGGCCGCGACGCAGAGAAGCCGGGCCACGCGCGCGCGCGAGTTGATCGAAAATAACACTCACCCTCCGGCGACGAGATGTATCGCCGTGTCGCGATCCAACATTCTACGCGATCGCGAGACGCACAGAATCCGCTGTCAATCTAAGATAGCATGCACTTTCGCGGATCGACCACACGGAAGAAAAATAACGAGACGAAACGAAACGAAACGACGAAACGAGACGAGACGCGACGAGACGAAACGAGACGAGACGAGACGGGACGAGATGAGGTGAGGCGAGAAGGGACAGCACGAGGCGAGGCGAGCACGCAATAGTCTCTCGATACAAGTAACGTCACTGTTTTTAGACACGGTTCTCGTACATTTACGCAAATTTACAACTCAATAAACTGCACTCTTTCGTGATCGTGTTATCGACGAAACATCAATCGCAATGAACACCGTATATAACCGCACCGTACACTTTCAACCTGAAAAAAAACAACGAACGACCCAACCAGAACGACAACGTATCACGCACTGCTTGTCGGATTCCCCCAGATTCTACAGTCCATCCTATTTACCTCCACCAGAGAGAAGACTGAGAGGGGTCACGCTGCCCTTTTTCAGGGAACGCTTTTTCCCCGCCATAAAGTGGCGCTAACTGGATCCATTTTACGGCCGGCGGTACTACGTGGTCGGATCCACTTTCCGCTGCCACGGTAAAACGACCGATTGGTTCATATCCGTGCTAAATCCATAAATGTGAATCTCAAAAGTACGAAACATATCATACATTTATTAATTTTTATTACATATTATTAACTGCGCGTGATCTTTTTTCACTTTAGTATATATTATGAAGTAATAATAATTACTTCATAAGCAGTTAATAATATGTAATAAAAATTAATAAATGTATGATATGTTTCGTACTTTTGAGATTCACATTTATGGATTTAGCACGGATATGAACCAATCGGTCGTTTTACCGTGGCAGCGAAAAGTCGATCCGACCACGTAGTACCGCCGGCCGTAAAATGGATCCAGTTAGCGCCACTTTATGGCGGGGAAAAAGCGTTCCCTGAAAAAGGGCAGCGTAACCCCTCTCAGTCTTCTCTCTGATAAAAGCCATTCTTCGTTGTCATGGTTACCATTACGGAATGAAGCAGTAAACACAAAATATATCTGCGCCAGTTATAATAACGTAACGATTTCTGCCGCAACTAAAATTATTACAATAACAAATAATTATAAACAATATTATTATCGATAATACTTGCTTTTACTTGTATTTTTTCAATTAATCTTAATTTCTTTACAATTATTTTAAACTATGAAGTGAAAAAAAGTGTGTATAGATTGTAGCTTTTGTTTTTATTAAAATAATCATAAAAATTACTATTATACGTGTCACAACATATTTAACATGAAATTCAAGATATCTGTACAAGACAATAATGCACATAAACGCTTAGTTGCTTGCGTCGCATGGAGCTCAACAGAAGAAATATATTCGTATGGGTAAGTCAATCTACTATAATTATGTTGCTTTAAATAAAAATAACACATGTATATTCTATAATATAACATTCATACATAAAGGTAAGATTTAACAATTTTACAAAGTCAGTTTATCTCTGGAATGTTAAAGTTTCTTCATGTTTTGAAGAATTAAAACAGAAATATGTGTAAATATTTGTAATAAAAACAAAGTATATTGTCAAAATAAATTCTTTTTCTAAGGAATTTAATGAAAATTTATCTTAGTATGTAAAAGTTACTTCTTTTGGTATAAACAATCAAGTTATGATGTTGCATTTTGTATCTGTGAATTCTGGGAACTCATTCTGTATTGTATGCGTACACACACACGCACGCGCGCGCGCGCGCACACACACATACACACACACACACACACACTCTCTCTCTCTCTCTCTCTCTCTCTCTCTTATACATCCATATATACATACATACATACATACATACGTACATACGTACATACGTACATACGTACATACGTACGTACGTACATACATATATAGACTCCAAATAACATATACATATATTCATAGATACGTATATTTATTAGTATATACTTATTTTTTCATGTATTGACAAAGATATATTTTTTTTAATTTGAGATTTTTTATTTATAGTTTAAATAATATATGGCATAAAAAATAAATGTGTTTGTGTATAACGCAATGCTAATATTTTAATATATTTAAAAATTATAAATATATATCCTCATTTTCTCTTTTCTCCCTTATTATAGTGAAAAACTATTGTTTGTGTTGTGAAAAATTGTTATTACATTAAATATAAATATAAATCATATAATTGTCATTTAATCTATATTTTTATAATAAAATAAATATTCTAATTTTTTAGTTTTACCTGGAATTTTTTTGTTTTTTTTTTAATGAAAGTCATATAAAAGAAGTTTATTAATATTAAATTGTTTGTTTCAGACAAGATCATTTATTAATATGTTGGCATTTAGAAGGTAGTATTGCACATTCTACTGTTGTGACTGAATTTCCAAATGATTTTTATCCTACTGTTATGCAATGGCATCCATATCTTAATACTTCCATCGCTAAGAAATCATCTTTGGATGTATTATTAATAACAACTGCTGACGGTATATTATTTATTTTAAGATGTATAATATTATTCATTTGAAGGATTCTTTCTTCAGGATTAGGATTTTCGTCTTTTACTCAGAAATATGTCATTAAAACTTTTATCACGAGTTGTGAGACATCTTGTATATTAATTATTCTAAGTTACTCTTTGTAATGTAAAAGATAATATTCTTTGAATTCAATAATAAAAATTATACAAATGTATATGTTATATTTGAAGGTATAAAATTAATTTATAATATTTTAATTATTAAAAAATATCATATTTTTGTAAATAACATTAATAATTTTTTTTCAATTATAACTATATATTAAAATTATATTTAATTTAGTTATATTATAATACTCAATACTGCCTTTCAACCTTCCTTCTTTCACTTTTCTTCCTTCAATCTTAAGTCTTTAATTTATCTCCTCTATTTTCTTCCTTTTTTCCTCTTCTCTTTAGTTTTTTCTTCTACCTCTTTACTTTCATTCTTAGCTTTTCAATCTCTCTTATAATTAAACTCACATTTCCTTTCTTCCTCTCCCTTTCTCTCATTAGAAATATCTGCATCTTTTTACTTGACCTAAATACTCACTCCTTCTTTCCTTTTCCCTTCAGCCCTCCTTTCGGTTTATCTCTCTTTCTTTTCAATCCCATGTTCAATCTCCTTGTTCTCTCTCTCTTTCTGCAAAAGATCCTTGTCCTCTCCTTCTCTACAATAGGCCTTTGCCCTATCATTTTCTTTTACTTTCCATTTCTTCGCTTTTGTATATATTTTTTTGTTTTCCTTACCTTTTCTCTAATCGAATTTCCTTCTTTTATCCTTCGTTTCTCTTAGTTCCTGCCAAATCCAATCCTATCTATTCAATTCTTGCCTATCGCTTCCTTATTATTCCGCCACTGCCTGCCTTCTTTCTTTTTTTATCTCTCTTTCGATCTGCACATTTACTTCCTTATTCCTTATCCCATGCCATTTCCTGTCTTTATTTCCACATACACTACTCTCATACTCATACATATTTCCTCTTTCTGATATTCGTTTCCTCTTATCTTTCAAACTACATAGTTTGCATGTAAATATATCACTTCTGAAACGGAAATTCTCCGATTACATTATCTTTTTGTTTACATAATTTTTTTATTGTAAATATTAACAAAGTATTAAAAGTATTAAAGAGATGTATTAATAGTTTATTGAAAGTATTATATATAAAAAGATATAAAATATTAAGTCTTAAAAAATAAATTAATTAACAATATAATAATTTGATTAACAATATAAAATATAAAAAAATTGTATCAGGTTGGTAATATAAAAAGTTCTTTTTTATTTGACTAGAAATGTGTCTAATTGAAGAGTGTATAAGACAGATATACAAGAGTATATAAGAGAGAAGCTTTTAAAACAATATTATTAACATTATTAAAATAATATTCATTTTTTAGGTCAATATCATTTGGTCAATAAAAATGGTCGCATTGAAAAAAGTGTCAATGCTCATAAGGGGGCAATGATAGTAGGAAGATGGAGTAACGATGATTCCGCATTATTGACTGGTATGGCATCATTTTATCTCTAAAAATTCATTGTTTAGAAAAATGGCCTTAATTACAGCTGGTGAAGATGCATTAATCAAAATTTGGTCTCGTAGTGGTATGCTTCGATCTACTATAATTAAAACAAATCTTCCCATATTAACATCAAGCTGGAGTCCTGACTGTTCAACGATATTATACTCCCAGGGTGCAAATTTAATCCTGCAGCCACTTAATTCTAATTCCAAGTCTCACAAGGTATATTTTTATTTTATTGTTTAGTTTTGCATTTGATATTAAATAATTTATATTCTTCCTTTTTTCTTCTCGCATATTGCTATTTCCTAAATTCTTCATAAAATTATTAATAAAATAAATTATTGATCTTCTGCTTATATAAATGCAACACATATTTACATTTGCAATATATAATTTTATATTATTTTATACAAAGTATGTATTTTTTATATTAATTTATCTCATTAATTAATATAAAAAATTCTTGCTATAACCTGCTGGAACTTCTCAAGAGTATGCATCTGGTATATTCTAATAAAATTACTTTTATTCTGTTACATTCAGGGTTGTAGAAAGTTTAAAGAAATTATTTATGTGCTGCATAACTTAAAGTAAACATTTATCATACTGAATTTCATTATAAATTAAATAAATTGATTATGAAAGTTCTAGAATTTGATGATTTTATGAAAAAAAATTTAGATAAAATTTTAGACTAAATTTTACACATACACACACACACACACACGTGACACACAAAAATTGATTTACAATCAGCAAGTTTCAAGATGAATTTCAACTCTTACTTTATGTCTCTTACTTTATGTCTCTTACTTTATGTCTCTTACTTTATGTCTCTTACTTTATGTCTCTTACTTTATGTCTCTTACTTTATGTCTCTTAAAAATCAACAAAAAATACTAGGAATACTATAATAATAATAGCATTAGTATAATGATTGGAATTCTTCCGAAGAATGTTTTCGCCAGATTATTGCAAAATACATTGTAGTCTATCTGCATGTCGAGATTGCGGAATAATTAAAATAATTTTATACATAATTTCATATATATCTGATATTTTCTAACGTTCAATATTAATGTCCAGCTTAAAGATCAACAAAAGATTCGAGACGTTCATGTATGATGCATGTATTATTTTGTACTAATAATTAAAACATAAAAAAAATATTTTCTATTCTTCATTGTGCACCACGCTTCAACTATTGCTAATTTTTTAATTATTGTTATTATTTGAATCCATTTTTTATTTTAATTTAAATTAAAAATGCTACTTATCTAAAAAGAAATGTAATATCGCTATTTTCATTTTTAAATTTTCGTCTCATCTTACAAATATGCCATTAAAATTACGCTTTCGAATTATAGTTGCATATATTTTAAAGCAAAATAATACGCTTGATACTTGTCACGGGATGGTATTGTATCTCTTGATGGACTGCTTTATGATTTTTTCCGTTTCACTTGTTATTCTAAATTAATAATAGTTTTTCATATTATTTTTATAAAATGAATAAATTTAATTAATATATTTATTTACATAAGGTTTTCCAATTTATTTTTATGTCTGTAACAAACACATTCCTATGAACATATAATTCCGATGAATCCGATATGACTTTATCTTATAATTCATGTTAAATTTTTCGGTTTAAAATTAAAATATAAAATTTTACATGTTTTTATATGTAATTGATGACTAATAAAGTATATATTAAACATTATATTAAAACAAACACTTTACATAGTTTTATTGTGTATGTAGTTTTATTTATAGATCATTGATATTTTTTATTACTTTGAAGAACTTTAATATAAACAGAGTGTGTAAATGTTTTTATATATTGCATGTCGAATGTATTGTATTTGTATGATCCCTTATATTCCCTATTATTTTTTTATTTAATACACACTAAAATTCCCTATTATTTTCTTATTTAATATACATCATTATTTTCTATTAGTTTTAGTACTTATTTAAAAATTAATTAATTACATGAGAAAATTTAATTACATTACATTAAATTACATAAATATATCTATAAATAATATTGTTTTATATTGTTATTAGAATGAAATATTGTGGACTTATATGGCTGTCATGGCAACTGATAATAAGGAATTTCACGCTGCGGAAGAAGCTTATGCAGCTATAGGTAGATGTGATATAGTAGATTATATCAGATACATAAAGGTAAAACAAATTTATTTTATATATTATCTACTTCATTTTGTTAAATTTATTAAAATAAACTCTAAATAATTAAATCGATAAAAAATTTGCAGAGCTTATCTAGTACTGCAGAAAAATATGCAGAAATGGCACTACTGGCGAGAGATTTGTTGGCAGCAGAAGGTATATTATTACAAAACGGCTTGATTAAAGAGGCTATACATATCAATCTTGAAGTTATAATTGGAGTTTAAAATTGGAATAGGTATGTAAAATATTCAAAATAAAACTAAAATATATGACTTATTTATTAATTTTTTTATGTGGCACAGATTAGAAATTATATATACAATGGAACCTTGTATCATCTGTACTATGATCTAGTATGTATGAGGGTTGTGTATTATTTCAAGATTCTACTGTCTGATGTCTCATATTTTCCCTAAAAAAAAATTAATAGATGATACGATGATCCTGGAACATACTGGAGCATACTGTATACATACATACGCACACACGCACGCATATATACACTATGCAGTATATGTTACATCATTCATACTTTTTTATTCATAAAAAGTCATGCAATAATGAAAATATAAGCTTTTATTACTAAAACGCATTTGTAAAATCGATTAGTGCTATTATCATTGTGCGAAACAAATCGGTAGTAACTTTACAATTTCAAATGAAAACATATGTTGAATATATTATTGAATAAGCCTTTTAATATATTATTGAATAAGCCCTTTTTAAAATAAAACAAACTTTTAAACAAACATCTTTGACTAAAACATTTTTTTAATTATTTCAATTATTAACAAAGAAAAATTAAAAAATTAAAAATTTCAAATGTAACTTTTTAAAATGATTTTTTGATTAAGTTAAATTTGAATTAACAAATTGCCTTCCATTTACATTTAAACAAACTTGTATTCGATAGCGGATATTTGCAGACTTTAAACAGATAGAGATCAATAAGATATCTGAATTCTTGTACAACAATTCTCCCTTATAATTGGACGCTCTTGATAAACAATGTCTTTTACTCATCTTCATAAAAATACTACTTGAGTTTGACTTTCCACGCGAAATGAGATTCATTTCACATTATCCCTGTAGTCAGTGTAAAACGAGGTCTATCGTAGTACAGCTTTATTTAACTGCTTTACATAAAAACTGTTAAAAGTCATTCAGAGTTATGACCCTGATGACAATTTATATCAAGGTCAAGGTGATTTGATTCTGGGGTTCTATTTTAAAGTTTTATATGTTTCTATTTCAAAAAGTACAAGTATTTCCCTCAGTTTCGGTTTTTACCGATTTATTCCAAAAGATCACAGTAATGGCAATCAATTTTATAGGTACGTTTTAATAAAAATATTTTATTCATTATGTGATACAGCATTTATAAATAAAAGGGGTGATGTGTGTGGCTTGACATACTGTATATAACAATACTTTAAATAGAAATAAATAAGCATAAAATATTCATGTCAATAAATATAATATATTTAATGCATTTTATAATAAATTTTTTATTATACTTATATTACATGTAACATAATAATATTCATGACTTTTTATATTTATTTTACCTGTATTTTTTTTCAAGAAAATTAATTATAATTATATATGTATATTTTCTAATAAGGGCTTTAGAATTAGCAGTAAAACATAAAAGGCAAATTGAAGAGGTTTTAAATAAAAGAGCAAAATATTTGCAAACTATTAACAAAAATGAAACGAACCAAAGTTTTCTCACACTTATAGGAAATATTTCTACGCTACAATCGGCAAATAAAGTAAGTAAATCTATAAGACTCTATGTAATGCGTTTACGTTATTAACAAAGCCCCTTTATTTTTTAGGAAAATGAAAAAAAAAATTATGTCAAAAATGTTATTGAACAAATCGATGTTGAATAAAATACATCTATCTCTGCAAAGCTCCTCTAGCGCTACAACGATCGCCGATAGTAAATGCTCTCTTCTGACAGCGAGCTGCCATTGAAAACATCTTGTGGGCTTGCTTGTTCTACCAGAAAACAACATGTTGCTGGAGCACAAAGTCACCTTCAAGATTTAAGAAAAATGAGAAGGAATATAACGAATAAAGAGGACATAAGGCAAAAAAGTAATATAATGAAGACTTCGTTTATTACAAAAACAAGAGAGTTAACGATAATATTTTTTAGTCAAATCTTTTTCAAACACAATACTACTTCAAAACACAATACTACTTCAAAACACAATACTACTTCAAAACTAATTTTAAGAATACGTATTTATAATGGTAAGGGAATAATGTAATTTTGAAAGCAGACTTTTGAATGTATAAAAAAATTAGTTATAAAAATGATTAATGTATGTATATATATATATATATATATATATATATATATATATATATATACATACATTAATCATTTTTATAACTAATTTTTTATATATATATGTATATATATAAATATACACATTAAAAAATATGGCGAAAAAATAATATAATGAGAATTTTGTTTATTATAAAAGAATAGTTGGTTGGTTTCTTTTTTAATTAAGTTTCTCTTAATCACATCTAATACTATATTTTGAAATTTTAATATGATTTTTGAGTGGCAAGGAAATTGTAATTTTGGCATAATGTTGAAAGCTTTCGAAATTATAAAAAAGTTAAATTTTATATAAAAATTGTTTATAATATATAAAAAGACATATCGTTAACTAAGATAATTAATATGGTAACAAAATAATTTCTCTTTTATCTCTGAATAATTTCACACATACTTGATATACTAGTCAATATATAATATATTGTTGGATTACTATAATACAATTATATTTTATTTAATGTTATTAATATACGACATAATAAAGATCCTATGTTATTTATTCCTAAATTCGAATTCCTTTTACCACTTTTCTTGCGCTATTTTATCCGTGTACATATATGTGAATCCACGCTATATTTTTTTACCTTTCACCCATTTTTCATTATATGCACAGTCAATAATCAGATAACTATAAAGTAAATAGGATGGTAAAAAAGTAAAAATGAGAAATAATAACTTTTTATTCTAGAAATAAATACGGATTATAATTATATTATTATAAATGCCAAATGGTTAACTATTAATTAAAATTATTATATAATATAATAAAATTCTTTTTATATAATAGTTTATATATTCCTCTTTAATGAAAAGTGTAATTAAGCAATTAGTATATATTAATACTATAATTGATTATTATACTATAATACTATATTATACTATAATTGATTTTACATATTCAATTAAAAAAACTTGTAGCATTTATAGTGACCTCATTTAGACTGTACACTCCACGACAACGATTCGTTCACGGGTCCCAGACGCGGGGCAAGGGGAGCATAGCCCCTAACCAATCAGCCACTGCCACGCTGCCAGCTGATTGGTCACTTGTATGCTCCCCTTGCCGCGCGAGAGAGGAGAAAAGGAACGAATCGTTGTCGCGCAGTGTACATGTTAACTGTACATTACAAACATCGCTGCCTTGGTGTAAGTAGAAAGATGAAGCATTCCGAAAGATGCGCAGTAGGTTAAAATAAGTGGGGGAAAGTCAACCAATTACGTTTTGAGCTTTTATGCGAAATTCAATACGACTGCTTATATACTACATCTTTCCTTTTTCTTTCAAATAGCGCGCTGCTCAAGTTCTGATTGGTCAAGATCTCAGACCTCTGCCATTATGCGCAGGTTCACTTTTCTACTTACACCATGATCGCTGGCATAACCACGTCTTTGAAATTTAAATTGAGTAAAATGGTCCTTTAAAACCTTAATAAAGGTCACCGAAGACCTTAATAAGGGTCACCGAAGACCTTAATAAGGGTCACCGAAGACATTAATAAGGTTAGCTGAAGACCTTAATAAGGGTAACCAAAGACCTTAATAAGGTTCGCCGAAGACCTTAATAAGGGTAACCGAAGACCTTAATAAGGTTAACCGAAGATCTTAATAAGATTTTCGCCTTATTAAGGGTCTCCCGAAGAACTTAATAAGGTTCTCGCCTTATAAAGAGTCTCCCAAAGACCTTAATAAGGTGTTCGCCTTATTAAGGGTCTTCCGAAGACCTTAATAAGGTTTTCGCCTTATTAAGGGTCTCCCGAGATCCTTAATAAGGTTTTCGTCTTATTAAGGTTCTGCCGAGACCCTTAATAAGGTTATCGCCTTATTAAGGTTCTCCCGAGACCCTTAATAAGGTTTTCGCCTTATTAAGGTTCTCCCGAGACCTTTAATAAGGTTTTCGCCTTATTCAGGATCTCCCGAGACCCTTAATAAGGTTTTCGCCTTATTAAAATTCTCCCGAAACCCTTAATAAAGTTCTCGCCTTATTAAGGTTCTCCCGAGACCATTAATAAGGTTTTCGCCTTATTAAAGTTCTCCTGAGACCCTTAATAAGATTTTCGCCTTATTAAGGTTATCCCGAGATCCTTAATAAGGTTTTCGCCTTAATAAGGTTCTCCCAAGACCCTTAATAAGGCGAAAACCTTATTAAGATTCTCCCGAGACTATTAATAAGGCGAAAACTTTATTAAGGTTTTCTCGAGATCCTTAATATGGTTTTCGCCTAATTAAGGTTCTCCGAGACCCTTAATAAGATTTTCGCCTTATTAAGGTTCTCCCGAGACCCATAATAAAGGTTCTTCCGAGACCCTTAATAAGGCGAAAACCTTATTAAGGTTCTCCCGGGAACCGTAATAAGGCGAAAACCTTATTATGGTTCTACCGGGACCCATAATAAGGCGAAAACCTTATTAAGGTACTCCCGGGACCCGTAATAAGGCGAAAACCTTATTAAGGTTCTCCCGGGACCCGTAATAAGGCGAAAACCTTATTAAGGTTCTCCCGGGATCCGTAATAAGGCGAAAACCTTATTAAGGTTCTCCCGGGACCCGTAATAAGAGGAAAACCTAATTAAGGTTCTCCCGGGATCCGTAATAAGGCGGACAACCTAATTAAAGTTCTCCGGGAACCGTAATAAGGCGAAAACCTTATTAAGGTTCTCCCGAGACCCGTAATAAGGCGAAAACCTTATTAAGGTTCTCCCGGGATCCGTAATAAGGCGAAAACCTTATTAAGGTTCTCCCGGGACCCGTAATAAGGCGAAAACCTTATTAAGGTTCTCCCGGGACCAGTAATAAGGCGAAAACCTTATTAAGGTTCTCCCGGGACCAGTAATAAGGCGAAAACCTTATTAAGGTTCTCCCGGGACCCGTAATAAGGCGAAAACCTTATTAAGGTTCTCCTGGGACCCGTAATAAGGCGAAAACCTAATTAAGGTTCTCCTGGGACCCGTAATAAGGCGAAAACCTTATTAAGGTTCTCCCGGAATCCGTAATAAGGCGAAAACCTTATTATGGGTCTCGGGAGAACTTTAATAAGGTTTACGCTTTATTACGGGTCCCGGGAGAACCTTAATAAGGTTTTCGCCTTATTACGGGTCCCGGGAGAACCTTAATAAAATTTTCCCCTTATTACGGGTCCCGGGAGAACCTTAATAAGGCTTTCGCTTTATTACGGGTTCCGGTAGAACCTTAATAACGTTTTCGCCTTATTACGGGTCCCGGGAGAACCTTAGTAAGGTTTTCGCCTTATTACGGGTCCCGGGAGAACGTTTATAAAGTTTTCGCCATATTAAGGGTTTCGGGAGAACGTTTATAAAGTTTTCGCCATATTAAGGGTTTCGGGAGAACCTTACTAAGGGTTTCGACTTATTAAGGTTTCCCGGGACACGTAATAAGTCGAAAAGACTATTAAGATTCTCCCGGGACCCGTAATAAGGCGAAAACCTTATTAAGGTTCTCCCGGGACCCGTAATAAGGCGAAAACCTTATTAAGGTTCTCCCGGGACCCGTAATATGGCGAAAACCTTATTAAGGTTCTCCCGAGAACCGTAATACAGCGAAAACCTTATTAAGGTTCTCCCGCGACCCGTAATAAGGCGAAAACGTTATTAAGGTTCTCCCGGGACCCGTAATAAGGCGAAAACCTAATGATGGTTCTCCCGGGACCCGTAATAAGGCGAAAACCTTATTAAGGTTCTCCCGCGATCCGTAATAAGGCGGAAATCTTATTAAGGTTCTCCCGGGACCCGTAATAAGGCGAAAACCTTATTAAGGTTCTCCCCGAACCCGTAATATGCCGAAAATCTTATTAAGGTTCTCCCGAGACTAGTAATAAGGCGAAAACTTTATTAAGGTTCTCCCGAGACCCATAATAAGGCGAAAACCTTATTAAGGGTCTCGGGAGAACCTTAATAAGGTTTTCGCCTTATTACTGGTCCTGAGAGAATCTTAATAAGGTTTTCGGCATATTACGGGTTCCGGGAGAACCTTTATAAAGTTTTCGCCTTATTAAGGGTTTCGGGAGAACCTTACTAAAAGTTTCGACTTATTAAGATACTCCCGGGACCCATAATAAGGCGAAAACATTATTAAGGTTCTCCCGGGACCCGTAATAAGGCGAAAACCTTATTAAGGTTCTCCCGGGATCCGTAATAAGGCGAAAACCTTATTAAGATTCTCCCGGGACCCGTAATATGGCGAAAACCTTATTAAGGTTCTCCCGAGAACCGTAATACAGCGAAAACCTTATTAAGGTTCTCCCGCGACCCGTAATAAGGCGAAAACGTTATTAAGGTTCTCCCGGAACCCGTAATATGCCGAAAACTTTATTAAGGTTCTCCCGGGACCCGTAATAAGGCAAAAACCTTATTATGGTTCTCCCGAGACCCATAATAAAATTTTCGCCTTATTACGGGTCCCGGGAGAACCTTAATAAGGTTTTCGCCTTATTACGGGTCCCGGGAGAACCTTAATGAGGTTTTCGCTTTATTACGGGTCCCGGTAGAACCTTAATAAGGTTTTCGCCTTATTACGGGTCCCGGGAGAACCTTAATAAGGTTTTCGCCTTATTACGGATCCCGGGAGAACCTTAATAAGGTTTTCGGCATATTACGGGTTCCGGGAGAACCTTTATAAAGTTTTCGCCTTATTAAGGGTTTCGGGAGAACCTTACTAAGAGTTTCGACTTATTAAGGTACTCCCGGGACCCATAATAAGGCGAAAACATTATTAAGATTCTCCCGGGACCCGTAATAAGGCGAAAACCTTATTAAGGT